GTCTGTGTGTATGTTCCTTATAGAAACAAAAACTACTCGACGGATTTTAACGAAACTTAGTACAATTATTCTTCATACTCCTGGGCAGGTTATAGTATACTTTTCATCACGCTACAATCAATAGGAGCAGAGTAGTGAAGGGAAATGTTGGGAAAACGGGAGAAGTTACTCCATTTTTTAAGCTTCCGTCGCGTGTGGAGCCTTAATGGTTAAAGTTACATAGAAATCATGTATGACGGAAATATTCTACATAAAATTGTCTAAAAAATATCCCGCAACAGCATATGTCTATCTTTTATGGTTGACTCACAATAACACGTGTAACTCCTGATAGCTTAGCAGTTCGTAGCATTCTGATTATATTTGTTTACTCTTACGTTTATAATACTCTCACTTATCCCTAATTTAAAAAAGTTAACATTATTACCTATTCAATAAAAAAAAAATCATAGAAATCGGTATAGGAACACCAAACTTATACATGAAATAAGCCATCGCGCCGTCGCACGTGAATACTGAATCATGCTTTAAGGATTATTTTTGTGTAACGGCTGCCGCGCTCGACACTGGTCGTGGCGGCGCGGTAGGGTATAAAAAGGCGGGAGGTCCGAAAGCGAGCTTCCCCGCCCCCCCGATCCTGAGAGACCTTCAGTCGCTCAGTCCCAAACCGATACGGATGCACATCAGGGTGCATCCGTCCTCTAAGCGCACTATGCAGTAGTATTTACTAAGGCAGCGCTGCATCATCCCCTTAGGGGTTGATCGCATCAGATGAAGCCTGTAAGGCCCCTAAGGCCATAGGCACCCCCCACGGGTGTGTTTTAGTCAGTAAGAGTCTGACATAACTCTACAGCCGGCTGTAGGGTATCCATGAGGATTTCACACCCGCTCCCCCGCCTGGGAGGAAACAAAAAAAAAAGAAAGCGAGCTTCATTCAATATTTGGCTGTTGATGCGTTCAGAGCGTTCGACCTTTAATGTAAAACGTGTAGAAAATCAGTACTGGAAAACGGAAATATGAGAATTTTAGTTTGGTTATAAATACAGGTAATAAAAATGACCGTTATTATCTATCTTTATATATATAATTCTTCTGTGAGTGTGTATGTCACTGAACTTCTCTTAAACGACTGGACCGATTTTGATGAAATTTTTTGTGTGTGTTCAAGGGGATCTGAGAATGGTTTAGATTCACAATTTTGTCCGCTGGACAACCCCTATTTCGAAGTTCGCTGGGTCAGCTAGTAGAAAATATTTGTGTTATGCAAATGCATGGTCGGTAATATAGCCGTCTCTTTTTTACCTCGCGGTCCGTAACTGCTATTTTGCTAAATAAGTTTATAATCACGCTCAATTGTCATTGTCACATTACTACGGAGTTTGACAGTTAGGCGCGATAAAAAAACGTGATAAAATAATGTAATTAAAATTGTGGTGCTCACTCTACGGGTACTGAAATTTTCCTTGGCTTTTAAACAAAGACCCTAAGATCAAATAAAAAAGTATTTGACCGTAGACCAGATTCCGAAGACATCTGAGCAAGGCCCCTGTAATTTCTAGCTCTCAATGAATAAATTAAATACAATTGATATAAGTTCAATAATTTGGAAAAATATACGAAAAGAAAGTCTTGAACTTGATTATGTTGTTGCTATCCCCAGACTAATTGCAGATGAACTACTGAGCGAACTCGAAAATAGTTTAGAATATTTCACTGGGGAATTATCACAAGTAAGGTAAGTTATGTTGTTTTGCTCAAAGATTTAAATCTTTGGTTTTGTTAGGATGGATGGATGGATTTTCAAAAGCAACACTGCCCATGCAGTGTTGTAAAAACCCTAATTTTGTTGTCTGCACATTCGTTTTATTTTATGATACAACAGTTATTATAATTACAAACAGCATAGTAAAACATCGAAATAGAAATTGCATCTAGATTTTCTGAAAAAAAAAACAAAGTTTGCTTATATCCAGTTTAGGAAATACTAAAAATATCGAAAAGTATTGAAACATTTAGGTAAGTTGGTTTTGATTGTGTAAAATAATTTAACATAAAAAACTATTACCTTATGACAAGTTTTTCTGGATTTACTGTAATTAATTTATTTAGATTTTTTTTAATCAGTTTTTTTTGTTCCCCGTTTATTCCGCATTCAATGAAAATTCATATACTAAATGATAGCTTAAACCAGCTTCTACAAGCAGTATTAAAACAATCTTATTTAAGTATATTTCTTATTTATAATCGTTAAATTGTTGATGATGGTTTTAATTTAGCAAAAACAGCAAGCATTAGAATCTTTATGATCTGAGACATAAAAAAATATATTAAAGTTATTGATATTTTAATTTGTTCAAAACTATGCAATGTTTTCAGTTTTTAGATGTAGAAAATTAAGTCTAAACTTGTTTACTAAGAGAAATGAGCACTAAATAACTTTAATGAGATAACTTCTTCTACATAACACTATTACTTATACAGGGGAAAAAAGATCATGGATGGAGGAAAACTAGGTACCCTTAATACTGATGATGGCATTCATTCATTCCTTTGTTTTCAAAAGTAAATATAACTGCGTTTAGAGATATTTTAAGTCACCTGCTTGGGCCAGGAATCACACTGGTGAAATGTGGAAAAAAACATCCTGTATTTTATAATAACAAATCGCACCCCCGTTGCGACACTGTCACTGCAAAAAAATCATTGTTTCAGGAGAAGCGTTTAAAGCTGTATAAGATTTTCATCACATAAAAATCTTTAAATATTGTATGTTTTGGGATGTTAAAGTTTTAAATGCTCATCCTGAAAAAAAGTTGTTTTTGCATAAGTGACAGTGTCACACCGGAGGTGCGAAATGTAATTTTTAAGGATCATATTTTTATAAATAACACTGTATATTAAGTTGAAGAAAGACCACGAAAGATATATTTTTTTATCGTAAAGCTTACTTAACTACTGTGTAAAGAAATAGTTCACTTAAGAATTGCTCAAAATGAGACCCATTTTCACATATGGACAGACATCTATATATATTGCTATACTGGCTACTGGCCAGTGGTGGATTTAACAGCAGGCTGAGTAGGGTTGAACCTATGGCAGCAAATTTGGGGTCTGAATTTTTTTTACCTACCTACCTCATAGAAATCAAGAACATTTTTGCATGACGGATTTCTGATGGCTTACAGATGGAGTCTGCAACAAATTTTGTATGACGAAAATGATAACTTTCCTGTTTCACTTATCATTGCACATTCCAAGAGTAGCAAACTTAACATTTGCCCCCACCGGGATTCCAACCCGGGACCTCTTGACAGGCGACATGCACCTAGAACCAGACGTACAAACCACTCTGCCACGGAGGCCGCCAAAACAGTAAAACAGCTAGTTCGCCGTCTCTTAATGTACAGTACTAGTCTAGGCCGCCTCTAATGTACAGTACTAGTCTAGGCCGCCTTTAATGTACAGTACTAGTCTAGGCCGCCTCTAATGTACAGTACTAGTCTAGGGCGCCTCTAATGTACAGTACGAGTCTAGACCGCCTCTAATGTACGGTACTAGGCTAGGCCGCTTCTAATGTACGGTACTAATCTATGCCGTCTCTAATGTACAGTACTAGTCTAGACCACCTCTAATGTAACCCATGTCTGGTCCACCTCCACAATTAACATCCTTATTTTGAACTTGCGATAGAAATAACGACCAACTGTTCCTATTTGACCAAATTCTTTTAAATGCCCTCGCAGTAATTCCACTGCAGCCGAAATGAAACATGGTACTGCACGAAAAATACTCTAGCCCACAACTGATTTGGATTTTTACAATGAGAAGAAGCGAATACCATTGCAATTTAAGTACCCCTGATTAACGGAGAAATACCTCTTTAGGACGTATGTCTACTCAACGAAGTATCGCGCGTGAATAGTAATATCCTAATTGACCACGTGCTCAATACAGTGATCACATGATCACGGTATTAATTACGATAATACCGGTATTGAAAAAATCCCGTATTTGAAAGTTCTAGTGTCTATCAATCCAAATAAACACTTATAAAAAATTTAATCTTCCAGATAGCTGAAAATTTGTCTGTATTTTAGGGTTTTTGGTAAGGTCTACCCTTTACCCCGTCAGCAGGTAGCCTATGGCGATGCAGGAATTACTTACACATACTCAGGAACAACGGTCCCTGCCCTCCCTTGGCCATCTCCCGTATTAGCGCTAAGGGATTTCTTATTCCTCTTGAAGGGCATTAAGTACGATTTCGTTCTGGTAAACAAGTATGTTATCAACTTTTACTATTTTCTGCTATTTGTTACTATTTTCTGCTATTTGAATGATTTGTAGTATAGCCTGCGCAAACGAGGGATTGTTTTGTCTGCCAAAATAGATCGCTTAAAAGCAACAGACGAAAAATTAAAAGTCCCGCTTACAAAAAGTCCTACGAACAACCGAGGACACCTAGAGACTGGAGAGGACAAAAGTACTCCTGGGTCTCTGAAAAAAGAAATAGAACTTGCGTAGCAACGCACACTGCGAACTTTAGTGTGGGTTACGCGCTCGATCAGATTGAAAGTATATACCTACTACAGTATACTTCTTTAAAACGTCATCTTATAAAACATGTTCATTACAATACAAAATAATCTGAGAGTATTTACTTCCATAGCGTGCGCTTCTCTAAAATTTCGGGCAACGAATGTTCGCAAACCAGGTTCAGGGATTTTTGTCCTCTGCGGTCAAAGTCTCTCGTCTACGCAGGCCTTTATGCGTACAATTTGAAAATAAAATGATTGGCTTTGATCTTTTACAAGTAAAATAATACATATCTATTATATGCGTATTATCTGAATTTTACAGATATCAAAATGGCAATGACCACATGGGGGAACACAGGGACAATGAACCTGAATTAGATCCTAGTTATCCTATTGCATCTGTGTCTTTAGGACAAGAACGCGATTTTGTTTTAAAACATAAAGACGCTAGGAAATCGGGCCCTCTTAAAAAACTAATACCACCAGGTACTTCAAGTCCTCGTATTTATTAATAGTAACAGAATCGTCAATGTTTCTTAACTTATAAAACATATACCGCAGTAGACGAGCTTCGTAGGTAACTGTTTGCTTGGCTTTTGTGTTTGCATCTTCCTCTTGGAAGGGGCTTTCTATGACGGTGCTCACGCGTCTACCATAAGTCTCGCATCCCTCGAGAAATTGCAAACACTCCTTTATAGTGTTATCTTTAACAACAATCAAGTGCTTTGCGAGATTCTCAAGAAATGATATGAAGCATCGTTTTGCGTAGAACCAAGTGTCTGTGCCTAAACGCTTATTAAAGGGCTCTAAAGATTTGATTACTCTAGATATACCAAATTCATAGTTTCCCTTCGCGCAATACAAGGTTCCTATCACCAAATTAACTATACATAAGTGATAGAATTTCTTTTGCGGATCCTCGAAGATTTGTTGCTCTTCTTCTTTTTCAATTTTTCTCATTATGTCTTCTGCTTCTTCGTTCTGAGACGTCATGATGTAAGACACGCATAGATTTGCAAGAACAACTGCACTAATATCTAAAATATTATCATATTGTTTCTTCACGATAGGTTCATAAAAACTTGCCGACTCCTTGTATTTATTCTCTTGCATAAACAATACATGTGCTACATTGAGACGCCATACATCAGACTCGTTGCAAAATTCTACTGATTTGCGGAATATTTTTTCGACTTGACCATAATTTTCCATATCCCAGTAAATTTTCGCTTGTGCCATAACCACTGGTATGTATCTTTCTAAAGCCTCTTCGTATTCAACCACGGCTTTTTTAACTTGATCATTGTCACCTTGTGCGCGGCTTTCTTGTACCACCTTCGTCAATTTCCGTAATTGTTCAGATTGTTTTGACGCAATGTCATCATATTTCTGAAAAGCTTCTTCTGGTGAAGTTTGGCTGGTTATTATAGCATCAAGGAAATCGTACAAATACGGCGATAAATATTTATAAGTGAACTGAGCGTTCTCTGCCAAGACATCAGCAGCAAGATCAAAATATTCAAATTTACAGTATAAAAGTAATAAATTTGCGAAGGTTTCTGGTGGAAACGGATCTTGTTGTAAAAGGAAATGCAATTTTTCAAAACCATCAGTCGGTTTTATATCAATCGAGGTCAATGCGAGATTATGTAAAGTGACTGCATCCAGTTCGTGTTCATGTCTCGGAGGCATATCACTTAAGGCTTCTCTCGCAGATTCAATATTCTTTAACTGATATTCGATAGCAGCCTTAAGGTTAAACACTTCTGTTAGTGCTGTTTCATGAAGTGTTAAAGTATTTCCAACAGATTTCACCTCAGATGATTCAGCTTGCATACCGACCGCTAACTCTGGATGATCGCGTATTCCTTTTTCGATAACTAAAGTTATATGTTTTAAAGCCTGAGGATATTCTTTAAGCCTAAAATAACACAGAGCTATGTTGTAATGAAGATGTGCATTGAAACCCAAAACATTAAGACTGCGCGAGAATTTTTGCAAAGCCTCTTCGTACTGGTTCTCTTTGTATAATAAGCATCCAAGGTTAATATCTTTATCGGGATCTTCTTGAGGGTAGGAATCAACTAGACTTTTTGCAGATATTGTGTCGTCTTCACCATATTTGATTGCAGATTGTAGTTTTATCACTTTTCTCTCCAACTCTGGGGAACTTATTTGCATTGTTATTTTGTAAGATTCGTCAAACATAGAGGCTTCATACAGAGATTGAGCGAAGTATAGTTTGTATTCTGGTATGTCCGGATGCATTGCAGTCAATTGTTCATAACAGTTCGCTGCTTCTATAAATGCTTGGGTTCTAAAGTAACAATATCCAAGTAGGGACAGTCCTGCGCGATTTGGGTTGAAGTTGATTGCGTCGTTTAACGCTTTTATCGCATCCTCAAATCTCGCTTCCTTTATCTGAAAAGTGTAACAGCGATGATAAAATCAAAGTTTGTGTTCGTTATGTCTAAAAGGCCTTATTTCGACGTCATCCATTACCTCGATTGCATGCGATAAGTGTAAATATATCCTATTGTGAGCCCTTCATATTTGATTATATCAAGAGATAAAGTATTCAAAGTGCATTAATATTACAAAAGAGTCGAATATTTGTAAAACTTATAACTAATATATTGGGAGTAGTTATTATCATTGTCGCTACATTACTGTAATTAAGTTCGCACGTGAAACTCCTTAACACAAAGGCTATCAAAGTGTTTGTCATACTTTGGTGCGTTCAACTTTTCAATACGTAATATTAACTCAATGCGTAATAATAACCACTGTCTTTAAACGTGTCCTTATTGTTTGTTTTATTATTTTATTCCGCATATTATGTAATTATATAATGCACAAGTACTTGAGTGTATAGCTATCATAGGTAGTTAATTACAAAACAGGCATTTACAGCATTGACTCGACCAGATATTCCTACTTAAGTAGGTAAATATTCAATTAGCGAATGCCGTCACGCAGTCACATGAGTCACACAAAAAGCAATAGAATGATATGGAAATTAAAGTTATTGATTTATTGATGGCTGTCGCACTTTTTTTGCTGTTTGTTGAGTTCGAGCAAACGAAACCTTCCCACCTGATGTTAACCTACATAAGTGGGTGCTTAGTTTAGAGTAGATAACGGGTGCAGCAATTTATCCTGCCACAACAGTGGGAGTGGAAAAATAGACTGCGCAGACGAGGGCCTTTTGCCCGTCAAAATATTTTGCTTGATCGCTTACAACTGAACCGAGTAAACATACGAAGGATTAAAAGCAGGGATGTAACGGAGGTAAATTTATCGGAACCGAAGTCGGAGTCGGAGTTTTTAAATTTGATTTATCGGAGTCGGAAACGGAGTCGGAGGCAGAGTCAGAAGTGGTCACAAGAGAGATTTTTAATTTAAGAACAAATAAAAACATCATCAGTCAACCATTTTTTCATTTTAATTATAAAATAACCATTTTTCATTTTAATTTACTTATTATTAACACAGACTGCCAACGCCACGGATATGAACCAGTTCGTAAAGGTCGACGCAGGCCGCCGTCGCTTTTTGCTATGCTTCGACCTCCGATTAAAAAGTTTCGGAGCCGAAATCGGAACCGAAGGTGTAATAGTAATCGGAAGTTCCGCCTTACCGGAATCGGAGTTGAAGCTCCATAACATCCCTGATTAAAAGTACTAAAAGACCCTCCTCTGCGCAGGCTCAGGCAGCAGGCATGAGAAGGGATCACGTGCGCGGGCAAAAAAATCCATTCGAGAATAGTGGAATAAGGAAATCTGTGATCATTATTTGTAATTTTCATCATTTGCATTAGGGTCTTGGTCACAGGTAAAGTAACAGGTCATAACGTAAAGCACTTACATGTAGGTATGGCTTAAAATATATTATAGGTACCTATGTTTTAATCAGAATTAATAAAAGTCTCAATAACCGCCTAATCGTCGTTTCGTTAATCTTATCATGGGCCCGTTAAACGAGTCCGGTCCTTAGCCACGCCACTTTATCAACAACGACAAGAGTTTGATAAATTTCGTTTATCAAAGTAGGTACGTTGACAAAAAATTTCGTAAATAAGTACAGTCAAACCTCGATAGTGATTGCTCTTTAAATAGTAATATCGCTCTTAATGTCACGTGACAAAGGCACTGTTAATGCCAATTTTCTCTACTAATGCGGCCTTGACTCATAATAATTATATATTTTTTATTTCCGCATGCCGTCGGGCCCTCGCGTCGCTCAATATGAATAAGTCATTTGTATATACCTACCTACCTATCCTTTTTGCAATTTAAATTCTACTCCGGATCTCAGTTTAGATCACGTGTAATTACGAGTTAAATGTCTATTGCAACAGTAAATACCGTCTAAATAGGGCTTTCGCTCCTATCGCAACTGTGCTTTGCAACCACTTGTGATAGAAGAATTTTTATTCTTGATACACAACCAGTTGCCATCAAGGAAAATCTCAAAAAGCACAGTTTCTATAGAAAAATTAGTTGTTTACCGTAAAAGAATACCTAGGTACAAATATGCCAAAATGAATACGGATCAATCGTGGCTACCTTTGTTAAAACAACTAATCGCAATGTTTATTGGTAGTCTTTAATTTTCTATAATAAAATAAGATGATACTTATACCTGTATCTTATAAATATTAAGAAAAAATAAGATTCTCTGTAGGTAGTAAAAATACACGTGGGGGGGGGGGGGGGATAGCCTAAACTTCACCACGTATCACCAAGGGGGAGGGGGTCAAAAAATTCCAAAAAGAACAACACGTGATTAATGGACGGCACCTAACTAAAACTATTTTGCCAAATGGCAGTAAATGCTCTTGTATCACAACTGGTTGTGGTGATATAATATAGTCCTCGTTGACAACTGGTTGTGAAACACAGTTGCGATAGCAAATTTATAATTGGTTGTGTATCAAGAACAAACATTCTTCTATCACAACTGGTTGCCACGAAAAAAAATTAAAAAATCCTCATAAGCAACTGGTTGCAAAACACAGATGCGATGGCGGCCGAAAACTGCCTAGGTAATAATCAAATAAAATTTTCTACTGCTAAAAACCGTGCTGCAAATCGGTTTGTTCTAGGGTTTTACTTAAATACGCCTTAAAACCCAAATATTTATATCTTTGTTAAAAACTGTTAAAAAAAATAGTACCTATACTCACGCCCCTTTATTAATAATCAAGGAATAAGCTTAGACTAGTTACGCCGTGTTTTGTTCATGTCACTCAAATGCTATTTGGTATTCAATGAACAGAGACAAAACATAGATTAACTAATCCAAGTTTATCCTGCGTTTATTAATAAGGGGGTATGGGTCCGTCCTATACTATACTAACTTCGGGTTCTATTGCAAATCTTTGTTTTATTGTTGTCAAACAGAGGATGATACAGACTACAATCCAAAGAATTTCAACTGTACCACGGTAATATTATCTATAGATACTATTACCGTGACTGTACTGTTTAGTAAGTGTGATTAAATATTGAGGCATATTTCCTTACCATTGTGTAAATTGTTTTAGTGTACTGTCCATCTTTTATTTGAAAATAATCCATATCTCGATTAAAAACCGCAAGTTAGAACAATAAATTCAACACAGCAAAGCATTAATGTTTTGATTGTTGATCACTATGGTTACCTACCAACATTATGGCGGCTCTACACTTGTGCCATGAAGCTTCGTGGACAGACGTGAATGTGAATGGTTTTCGCGGTTGCAAAGTTCGGAGTCATTATGATGTCATCACCACTTAATTGAATTTGCGCCATTATTTCACGGTACTAGTGTGGAGGCGGCATTAGGCTGCATTGTTGCACCATGTTTTACACAGAAGAGCGAGCTGAGGATTGCATTATTTGCATTGTTCAAAATTCATTGTGCAATAATAAATAGTTTTCAAAAATATCCTGGGACAATTTCACATCAGTTTATTACTGGTTATCTCTGAGATTTCTAGGATGAGCTGACTGCCGCTCGACTTCTAGCGAAAATTCTGCTGTGCGTAGCGTATGTCCTACCTTAACTTTATTTCCCTATCTCTCATGACTTCTTTGTTTGTATTTATGTATACCATTCCAATGTAGGTAGGTACCTACCTACATCGGAATTAAAAGTTAAATCTGGTACTGGATTGGACGTCACGCCGCTCCGCCCGCCCTTGGGGGCTCTTTTTTGCCCCTAGGGAAAATACTCGGCTATCTAAATACCTAGGTACTTGCTGCACCAACTAATACATTTTATTTTTCTTATTGCAGTTAAAATTGCTTTGGAACATGGCAGTATTCTACTTATGAATCCACCGACTAATGAACTGTGGTATCATTCCTTGCCTGTGAGAAAAAAACTTTTGAATCCAAGAATTAATTTAACCTTCAGAAAGATGCGTTTGAAAAACACTGAACTATAACTATACTATTACACTTATACCTACATGAACAACAATAACTTTGGACTTCCGTTTCGTTTTGCACTATATCTTTGCCTAACATTATTAAAAAAAAAAGAAAATGACACTTGTGTCTGTGCTCTGCTCTCAGTTCTGTTTTGCAGTTTTTGTTATGATTTTTCTAGAGAGCTGCAATATATAAAAGATAGTTATTATTCAATTGAAATACTAAATACATATTGGCAAAAGTGTCCAATTGTCAACGAAGGAAAACCACACAGCTCTTAACGTAAGTATTTTTAAATCCTATTAAATTTGTTAAAAGTGTGCCACAAGTATTTCTTCGATCAATTCATTTGGTTATCGCTGTTCAAGTACATTTTCTTGATAAGGGAAGCCTATATAACGATGAAAATTGTACAACGGCCGTTACTAACGCCGATTCTGCGATGTACGCTATTTATTCGGTGAAATCAGTTATAAATTGTGGTGATTACTCTAGAAGATGGGTTGAATGTAGCTGTCGCGTATTCGGGAGGCTATACGAGTGTAGAGTGTTAAAGTTTGTCTAGAAAACATTTTGGTGATTTGGAAACTGTTAATATGTTGTTCGGTGCGAACTTGCAGAGGTCCTACAAATACATGAATTTCGCTTCCAAGATGCCGTCGCTACGAATAGACCAGAACGATTTAAAATGTAAGAATGGCTGCGACTATTATGGAAACCCGCAGTGGCAAGGCTACTGCTCTAAGTGTCACAGAGAGCAAATGTTGAGACAGCGGAGAGCTGGTTAGTATTGCATGTTTTTCTATTTACATTAGTAAAAATAAAGCAATTTAATGCTTAGATAAACATGTAACTTAGTTGGTGTCTGTACATAATTATAACTTACTTTCATTAGTACATTGACTAACTAGATCAGGGGTGCTCAAACGGTTCATAGCGATCAACTGCTAATATCTATATATGCTATGATACATCCTACCTAAGTAGGTAGGTGTAGTGTTTCGTGTATGTACGACAACCCTGCATCACACATACTTTCACCCTCTCAGAGTCGATTGTAAGTAGTCTAAAAATTTCAGTGATCGTCAGCAATTCAAGTTTCTGCACCCTTGAGCTAGATGTATTCATCAAAATGATTATCTTGTAAATTTGGGTAATAATTACATCTGAATTGTTTTATTGATATTGAGCTGAAATTGAGGATTCAGACAAGTATTATTAAAACTGCATATTTTATTGTGCACAGTATGATGATTTTTATTATAATGTAAAGTGAATGCTTATCATGATCTTGACCAGAATTTAAACAAAAAAAGCGACTTTCATTAGATATTGTGTACTACTACTCTTTAGCAATAATAATGTCTCATTGATATTGTTCTCCATAAAGTACAGAAGGCCACAGATCTAGTTATCCAATACTGTAAATTTTCTCCAGTCAACTTTTAGCTTTGTATTGATACACAAACAATTAAATAATATGGTGGTTGGTGGTAATTGGATGTGCCTTTCTTTTTTTTTTCAAAAACATTTTTATTCATTTATTTTCACCTTTTTCTAACAATACTTCAATGAATACAAAATGATAATAAACAGCAATAACAGATAAATAAAACAAGTTTCAACACGTTAGATGCACTGTTTTTTTTTATTAGTAATTACAGATTGTATATAATAGTATCAAATAACAGCTTTAAAACTATACTTAGGGTACAGCAAGAGTGCACTCAGATTCAGATTCAGACTCAGAAAACAAGCGCGAGAAATAAACAGTGTAGTTAAAGCAGGGTGGCCATAGTGGCAGCAGGCAACCTGCTTAAACTACACTATATATTTCTCGCGCTTGTTTTCTGAATCTGAATCTGAATCTGAGTGCACTCTGGCCGTACCCTTAGGTGTTATTAAGTGTTTATTACGTGTTTTATTTAATGCCAGTGCTCATTTCAAATGTTAATAATTTTCACCAGCATTTGAACAAAAGGTTCTCATTTATTTTCGACAACTGTTATCACTGCTGTAACTAGACATCAAACAGCTATTATTGTAAATATATAAATATTTATTTGAAATTATTGAAACAGAGTATGTTAAAGGACATGGTAAAATTTTGTTTGAGTGACTGCCCTAGCAATATATAAATATTGCACTTAGTAATATTTAATGCTGAATGGCTGAATATTTCTAATTTCTATGAAAAAAGGCTCAGGGACTTTTGATAAAGTCACAATCTTGAAAATTATGTGATCTCTTATGACGTCATAACCTTGCTATATTTGATAAAAGATGTTGCCAATTATTTACAGAGCATTATGCCGGCTACAGACCTTCAGTTTTGACTGCACAGTTTTAACTGAACAGTCGAACTGTTCAGTTAAAACGTACGTGTGTAGGCAAAACTAGAAACTGTACAGTTGAACTGACAATTTATTTAAAAATCATTAAATAAAACTGCTCAGTTAAAACTGTGCAAGTAAAACTGAAGGTGTGTAGCAAAAATAACTGTGCAGTTGTCAGTTTTGCCAAAGCGCCGCCGGAGTGATCACGTGTTTTATGATAGTTTTAGTGATAGTTACATCGAAACTAACAATGCCAAATCTACGTGAATGGTTAGAAGAATTTATAGAATTATATCATTCAGAGCCTTGCTTGTGGAAAGTTAAAACAAAAGAGTACCACGACCGTGGCAAAAAAGAAGCAGCCTACGAAAAGTTATTGGCGAAACTTCGAGAGATTGAACCATCAAGTGACAAAAAATCTGTAATAAAAAAAATCAATAATTTACGCTGCGCTTATAAGAAAGAGCATAAAAAGGTGACGGATTCTATAAAATCAGGTTCAGGTACTGATGACATATATGAACCGAAACTCTGGTATTACTCTCTTTTGAGATTCTTGGACGAGCAAAATACACCACTACAGTCACGCTCGAATTTGGATGATGAGGTAATAAAACTAATATTTATTATTTGAAAAATTCCTTTTTATTATTTAAACTTGACCTTCATTGTTAAAATAATTCATAAATTCTTGTCTGATCATTTTGGCAGTTCGAGCCGTATTTCCTATACTTCTTCGTTGTAAAGGTTCCATGGCAGAATCCCTTGTATTGTACCCCAGTATGACCTCTCCAATATCAGTTTTTTCGCTATCAAAACACTCTGGACTTGTATAAGAATTTGGTAACTTTTTAATCAAAAAATTGTGTAATGCACAACATGCCATCACAATTGATTTAATTTTACTTGGTTGTACATTAATATCTGTATGAAATATTCGGAATCGCGCAGCTAAAATACCAAAAGCGTTTTCCACTATTCTTCTTGCTCTTGAAACACGGTAGTTATAAATTTTTTTCTCGGTAGAATCCAATTCAGCTTGTCTAAAAGGTTTCATCATATCAGTCCTTAGAGGAAAAGCGTCATCAGCAACGAAGACGTATGGTAAAGATCTTGAGCTATTCGACACGATTTCTTCATTTGGAATACTTAAACGATCATTCTGAAGCTTTTGAAAGAATTTTGTATTTCGTAAAACTCCACCGTCTGATATACGTCCGTTGGTTCCAAAATCACATAAAATAAACTGATATTGAGCGTCCACTATAGCCATTAAAACCATGCTGTGTTTTTTTTTATAATTAAAATATGTTGATCCACTATTTTTTGGTGGATTTATTGAGACATGCTTCCCATCAATCGCCCCAAGCAGATGTGGAAAATTCCATCTTTGTTCAAATAGTGCAGCTATTCTTTTCCATTCTACTTGTGATTGAGGAAACTGAAACAAACAAAAATATTTACAGATTAAATCTCCGGAGTCAGTATCATCGGCAGGGGATAATTTATCAGTGCATGAATCAGCAGGGCAGGAAGTACAAAGTGATGAAGGCTCAAATGCATCTGCTCAGCATAATCACGACGCTACACCTACAACAGAGGCTACTTCTTCATTAAGTCTATCATCATCTAGAAAAAGAAACTCTGAAGCTGCTCTAACAAAGGACGTTTTGATATCCGTTAGAGATCATTTCAAACGTCCGGCTCCATCTCCTCCACCACCGATGAGACCTGACGATCGTTTCGACATATTTGGTAAAGCTGTTGCATTTAAACTTAGAGATTTGAATAAAACACAACGTATTCTAGCAGAAAAAATTATTAACGAGACGCTTGCAGCAGCTGAATTGGGTGGTTTAACTACATCACATACTGTTATGGCCCCCGTTTCAAATTCACCTTTTCAACAATATCTTTCAAATCAATCGTACTCATCTACATCCAGTCGCTCTATTCACAATACTTCACCATACTCAAATCAACAAAGTCCTATAATTCAGTCGCCAACATCTAATCGCTCTATTCACAATACTTCACCATACTCAAATCAACAAAGTGCTGTAATAAGTCAGTCGCCCATGTATGAACAACCACTTCTGCGCAATCACTCACAGACTTCATCAGTTGTTCTATTATCTATACCTGAGAATCCAGAAATATCAGATAATGCAACCTTTATTGACAATGATGTACCAAATCAACCAAGTGCTATGATACAGTCGCAAGTTTATCAACAACACACAAATTCAGCTGCTGACTACATATCTAACTACGATGCTTCCTCATTTTAAATTCCGAAAATAAGTACAATCATTCTGATGTCTATCTAAAATATAAACTATTAAAAAATATTAATTGTGTTTTATTTATCTATCACATACCTTTAAGTAATCCTTGTGTAAAACACTATATATTGCTTCACACGTTTCGGGTATGATACTGGAAAGTGACTGCGGAGATATTATTGTTGAAAACTTGAGGTCTTCGTAGGTTCTCCCTGTTGCTAAAAATCTAAGTGTTGCTGTTAATCTTTCATGTGGTGATATAGCACTTCTCATAACTGTATCTTGTTTCATTATTATAGGTGTGACTAAGTCAAGCAGATGTATGTATGTTTTTTCATCCATTCTTAAATAGTTATTATAGTCTTTTGGACAAATTCTGAGCTCTTTCAGTAAATTGTCATGCGAATAAAGTTTTCTTTTCAATAACCAATGTTTACACCACATTTTTTTCCTTCTTTGTATTCTTTTTTCCAAAATGCATAATAGTCCAATAATTGCCACAGTGTCATCTGATGATGCCATGGCGACGTGTTACTTCGAGCGAAAAAGATTACAACTGAAATAACTCAACGTGTGTAGACACTAGGGACGCCAGTTTTAACTGAACAGTTCGACTGTTCAGTTAAAACTGTGCAGTCAAAACTGAAGGTCTGTAGCCGGCATTAGAAGGAGATAGAAAGCTCTCTCTCTGGGTTTGTTTTCGCTGGTTCTGCTCCAAAAGGTCTCCCAATTTTGGAACTGGTGATAGTTTACGGTAGTTAGGGTCAAATAAATAAACTGAAAATTATAAAAAACAATTTAAGTACTTTATTAATTAAATAAGCTAATAAATTCATACATAGATAGTAAAGTTTTAAAAATCTTCCAAAAAATATCCGAACATGACAAAGTAAATAAAAAGTCATTATTCCGACGACGCATTCCTGTAAAGGATGAGAAACGTCAATATATAAATTAAATCAGTGCGTCTAACCCATTGAAACTGGTTTTATTTAATGAGTGATGTGAGTGAAAACTTAAGAAACAAATATGATGTAACTTTGTAATAAAAAAAATATATTTCTTAAATTTTCAGTTACAATCCTTAATGTATATGTTTGTCTTAATGTGAAATGCTTAAACATAAATAAATAAAATTTATTACATACAAATACAATCTAACCCTTCAAAAAAATTACATCTGCAACATAAAACATTAACAACAAGTAACTCTTTTTCAATATCAGACAAATCAATTATGTTATTATTAAGTGGTTACAAAATTTCTCTTCATTACTTTTGAAGAGTTGGACATAAAGTATGTTATAATTTTTATTATTTTTAAAGCATGTAACTGCTTGATGTTTAAATCTAAAGAAAATATAACTTGAAAAAATTCCACGCGGACCAGGCAGCAGACGGGACTTGAACCCGCACCCTTCGCAATCCGGGCGAATGCACTGACCAATTATGCTACCGCGGCCCTCACGGACCGCGTCGAAAATCTTCTAGCCATTCTTAAGCTGCAAGGCTAATAAAAATAAAAATTATAACTATAATTGCTATTTCTTCTTTCAAATGTTTAATACTTGTAAAAGTATTCATTTGATATTGTGGGTTACCTATAATGCGAAGAGATGGCACTGCCTTGCAGCTTAAGAATGGCTAGAAGATTTTCGACGCGGTCCGTGAGGACCGCGGTAGCATAATTGGTCAGTGCATTCGCCCGGATTGCGAAGGGTGCGGGTTCGAGTCCCGTCTGCTGCCTGGTCCGTGTGGAATTTTTTCTAGTTATATTTTCTTTAGATAAAGTATGTTACTAATAACATTGTGTTTTTAGTGGACACAAACATAAAATCAGTAATGGTTGGGTGTGGTGAGGTAAACCTATCATAAGGTTTTAACTACAAATTTTATGCCTCGTGTCACGTAATACTATTTCATAACTTTATTGATAACTTTAACAAAAGATTAATATCATAACAGATAAAGTGAACTTAACCTTACAGTTACATTATCTCATAAAAAATAAGTTTTGACATAACATTTGATAAATACCCAGATGGGCTTGGTCTCTCAAGGTTGAATTGATTAAATCTATACTAAAGTTTGCAAACTTTGTATTTCCTGCTTGTGGTGGTTGTGTACATTATGTCATGATACTTGTTTCATGTTATCTTGCTGAGTTAAAATATAAGCAATATCTTTTTAGAAAAAGCGTCTTCAAATCCGTCAGCCACATTGCCAAGGCCGGAGCAAAAAAAACCGGAGCGGGGCACTAAACAGGCATCTCACTCTTCTTTCTCTAAGTTTGAGGAGAAGCGTTTGCGGCAGAGCGAAACGTTGGCCAAAAAGGCCAACCTTCTGAAATTTAGCGTGTTCAAAAAGAGTAGCACAGGTTGGTACTAGCAGTAAAAGATGACAAATAAAGCCTATTATAGCTATTAACGGAATAATTACCATGTACCTTGTTTTTTATGAGTCACCGATATTTAGATACTCCGTGATCATGGTGCTTGCAACAGTGCCGAAATACCGGAGACTCATAAAAGACAAGGTACATGGTAACAATCCCGTTAATAGGTATAATGTTAGTGACCATGAAAGTTTAAAACAATACATAAATAAAGCCTATCTATACTTTATTTATGGAAATGAGCCACTAACTTTTTATACTACGTAGCTATGTTACGTAGCTTTCTGTAAAGATTTCCTCAGATAACTTCTTTAGTAAGTCTTGCCTTTCAAAATAAGCGTAATATTCCCCAAACAGATGATTTAGCTCACATTGTCATACTTTCTCTTTAAGGAGATCCTATTTAAGCAGCATTATTCATTGTAGCATCTGTATCTGTCTTAGGTCCTCAATCAGAGAAGTCATTCAACTTTTTAAGTTTGACTGTAGTTTATGCTCTAACTTTCTTTGCGATAACTAAAGAATTAGATAACACGTGACTAGAGCAAGCATACATTTTAAATTTTCAAAATACGGCGGTTAATGATGAGTCGTTATGCAGACGATCACGATCACTCTGAGAGGCGCGCGCCGGAGTTCAAGGTGCCGCCTATGGTGAATGAGGGCATGAAGCGCGACTTCCGCACGCGGTTCCCGACGCTCGGCGCGGAGACGGACCGCGACGCGCGCGTGTTCGTGCACTCCTTCATCATGGACGTCATGAAGTGCGCCAATGTCATGAGCGTCGACGAGCTCTCTGAGCGGGTGCAGAGGTTGTACCAGGTACGTTAGATATCTGATAGGTGCGCGGTTCCCGACGCTTGGCGCGGAGACGGACCGCGACGCGCGCGTGTTCGTGCACTCCTTCATCATGGACGTCATGAAGGACGCCAATGTTATGAGCGACGACGAGCTCTCTGAGTGGGTGCAGAGGTTGTACCAGGTACGTTAGATATCTGATAGGCCCGCGGTTCCAGACGCTCGGCGCGCAGACGGGTCGCAACGCACCTGTTCTTGCACTCATTCCATCATGGACGCCATGAAGTGCGCCAACGTCATGAGCGTTGACGAGCTCTCTGAGCGGGTGCAGAGGTTGTACCAGGTATGTAAGATGTTTGAGAGGGGCGCACCGGAGTTTAAGGTGCCGGCCTTGGTGAACGAGGGTATGATTAAATTTAAATCGTTTACTTAGTCATAACACTATTGCATCATCTTAATTAGTACTTATATAGGTTGTTAACAAAAACAATAAAGTTTCTATGTGGTCATTCATTACAATAACCTAAGTTAGGTTTTTTTTTATTATATTGTCACAAATGCTCTGGAACTAAAACCACGAACATACTGGTAACAGATTAATCCAGAACGCTGCGGCTCGCGACGTGAATGACTTTGATGGAGGAAAGTGGTGCGATCCATTCGAATGTGAGCCTTAGCAGTGCGGCGTAAGGGTGAAAGTGCAATTACATCTGCCTACTTGTTTAAAACTCATGCCCGCTATCTTCATATGAGTTCTCTCCGATGCTAGTGAACTCTCAATTAAACTGGACTTTTCTGGAATGCATCGATTGGCGTACATAGGACGTCCGGCGCCGCGCAATTGAGTTTCAACAGCTATTTCGGAACGATTATAAAGGCGATCAAAATGCAAGTAAAGTGTTTGTGTGCCATTGTATGAGGACTTATACAGTGTATAATGAGTGAAGTATTGTGTTTAGTAAAGAACTGTATGAACTGTGTGGTGAATAAAGAACTGTCAAGCGCGAATTGGCGTTATAATGAACCCCATCCCAATACGTAACAACTTAGTGACATGCCAGTCGCCCAGGGCAAAGGCGTACGCACTCGACCGTATGCCATAACCAGTGGCGGCGCTAGACCACATGTGGACGTCGGCGACATCAAGTCCGCGAGGCCTATTTTAATTCGCAGTAAAAAACCTTTAAATTAAGTGAGCCAAATTATAAAATAACGTATGAGTAAAGGAGTTTTATTGTTGATAATCAAATGATGACAAGAAATAATAACAAACATAGAAAGTTAATTACAAAAATAATGTTGCCAGACAGACAATTCTGAATACCCGTAAAGTACTACTCGCTTCCATCACGCACGTGTTCGAAAATAATAAAAGTCATTATCATCTGCTTAGCTTTTTACACGCATTGTTCGGGGTCGGCTACCTAAGCCAGGCCAGAGAAACGAAAATAAATAGGTAACTTGTAAAAATTTTTTGCGAGGCCCCTTTAGGCGCGAGGCCGTCGGCGGTGGCCGACGTCGCCGACGCCTAGCGCCGCCACTGGCCATAACGAACCATCCGCGGGAGTCGGGAACAGTGGCGACTTATGAAGATACCAGCAGAGCACAGGCTTCTCACCACACTGGTGCTATCACTACTACACTGCGTCAACGTTCAACTGTATGGTTACGGTCGAGCGAGGCCGGTTCAAGAAGCGCGGGCAGAAGTAGCGTCTGATAGTATGAAAATAATTTAATAAATATGTACTTAATACAACACAACAGTGAAAGACGCAAAAGTGTGCTACGTGAAATGCTGAAGTTTTATAATATTATATTGTGTGTTATATTTGATAAGTGTGTGTGTGTGTAACTACGTAGTGCGCCGATATTATAAATAAGTATGTTTTGTACCATTATCTATCTATCTAAGTCTAAGGCCCGAATTATAGAAAGATTCTCAGTGATTGATCTAGTCTTGAGCATAGTTAGAAAGGGATGTCGCTATATATAGCACATAACAACATCCCTTTCTAACTGTACTCAAGTAAAGATCAACACTTAGTTGTCATTCTGTAATACGGGCCTAAGTCTTTGCATTTATTATGACCTGCCGCCATCACCCAATTTACCACAAGCGGCGCCCGGAACGGGATGCGAGGTGGCGACCCGATTTGGACACAGAGGTACTATTAAAGCGTTGCCGGGATTCCGGGCATGACGCGGCTACAACGGGCACGGCGGAGAGAACCGGCAAGGATTCGCGCTGATAGAGAGCCAACGAGAAGCTTTTGAGGATATTAAGGCGAGACACTGAATGAACCTCTGCAAATGGTGCTCCTGAAGTGAAAATTTACTCAGCTATTAAGACTTGCGCACGACTGTAGATCTGATGGGCACAATGGCACAGCGGTGACACTCTCTGTACGTGAGAGTTCCAGCGTCAGTGACCTTGAGCAGGAGCGTGTATGCGCTAGGGTTGAACTTGGAATATAGACTTGTGCCAATGAATATTTATGCATAGTAAGTTATTAAATGTAAACTGATTCAAGGATACTGGGGTAAATAATGAAGGATAGGTTTGATTTTATAATCAATTGTTAATCTTTTAATGTAGGTACTATAACAAATTGCTAAATTTTATATATTTTCTCCTTCTTTGATTCGTTTTATAATTCTTATTATTATCTAAATAATAATAAGATTGCGTAGCGTAGTCAGTCTGTGCGTGCAATGCAGTGCAACGCTATTATTTTACTACATATTTCGCTACTGCAATGCCTTCGGTAGAGGCAGTCGGCGACTGCCCTCTCCACGTCCCGCGCGCCGCGCAACGCCCCCGCGCACCTCCAGACACCCACACATAGCCGCGGGCGATTTTACGAGCACACATGCTTAAGTGTCGCTTCTTTTCGCGTAGTGTATATATTCTGTGACAATGGTCAAACAAAAATAAAAAAAACTGAATATAAACTGCTTTGTCGACATAAAAGCAGCTGATACGACATATTCCATACGCATTCTTATAACGGTCGCACTCGAGAGAATAACGCGACACAGCTCAATGCTAAATAGTCACTTTTAATCGCATGTTTGTGCTCGATCACGGATCGGGTAGCTGTTTGATAGAAATATATACAGTCAAAGCTATCTATTATCGTCGTAACTGCAATCAACATAAATAAATAACCTTAAAGTCAAGCAATAAAACGCGCTCCGTATCAAACTGCTTTATGTTTGAAGATTAGCAGAAAATAAGTACTTAGTCATATTAGTAGTAGTACTTATTTGTAAACACGAGTCGCGCTGTCTATTTGTATAGGAAGAAACATATTTACATGTTGTGGCGTGTCGACACGTAAATATGTATAGAATATATGTCTCTAAGCTTAAGGGCGCGTTTATATGACACAGAATGTCACAGCGTGGCGGCCGCGCGGTCACCGCCTGGTGGCTAACTCGATTCATTTGCAGTTGATCTTGGTCTTTCTTAAAATTCACACGTATTCGTTATGGGCTATTTGACTAAGAAGAAGAAAATTATGATTGCATATTACTTGTACCGAAAAAGCAAAAAAGAAGAAAAAAAGAAATGTAGAAGGTTTTGGTTTTATCCTATTGTAGCACGACGAGAAGAGTTTGGTGAAGTTCATATGCTTTACAACCAACTGCGCGAATATGAAAAACAAATCGCAGATAATTTCCGAATGGATGTTAAAACATTTGATTCACATCACACAAAACATTTGATGTTAAAGAATTCGAGTGATTCGAGCGAGGCACCCGGCCGTGCGGCCGCCGTGAGATCGAGGAGCGGACGTCGCGCGATCGCCGCACAGTTAGTTACTCACAAAGAATTTAAACGTTAAGTCCTAGTTAATAAAACATAAATCTGCTATGACTGAACAGTTATTACGCGGCCACAGCGTCTATCTGCAGCCTAATAAATGTATGAAACCGATGTGCTTCTGGCGCGTCACGACACGCCATGGCACGTAAATATGTTTCGGCTTTAAGTTTCATTCTATGCTGTTTAACATTCGATTTTATTTTATTGTTAGAAGGTACTTATAGCTATATAAATCTCATTTGAATAGTCAGGTTTTTCTCGTACTTATAACTAAACAGCTGTATTACGAAACTAAGAATGCCTATGAACTAAAATGAATAATATCAGCACAAAATAATACTGCGTTAGGTGTTACTTTTTAACTTTATGTAGGACCTTGTTATTACAAACAAACCAGTAATGCGAAAAGTTAATTTGCCACGGATCAGTGTATTAAAGAATATAATAGATTGCGTGTGTTGTATTTGTATAATAATTATCTCTAGTTGTTTATGTTGAAGTAAATTAGGCTACATATTAGACTAGACTTGCTGCGCAGACGCAGCGCCAACTCAGGCCCAAACACCGTCCCCCCCTTGTAGTTCTGTCCAGCAATGAGGGGGGCGGCGGAGGGAGCTACACGGGCACGCCCAAGTAGCCCTCCGCAGCGGACGGGGGGCGGTACGGTGGGCTCTAGGCCGCGTACTCAGCCCCCACGCGCGGGCCATCCTGCGCACGTCTCCGGGGTCCCCGCGATACCCCGGGAGACCCCTGCCGTGGAGCCCCGGCTAGGCCGGGAGGCTGCTAGGTGCGGAGATGCGGAAGAATCCCGCGGAAAAAAAGGCCCAAACACCGTTAACATATCGTATCGTCGAAAGTTTCTATCAAAACTAAGTAAAGAAATTAGAACTTTATCACCACTTAACATCAGGTGGGGTAGAGCCATTTGCCTACCTGGCTATATAAAAAAAGGAAAAAAAGCATAATGACTCCTTCCAAACAAAATTTGACGATGACGATACGTTTAGAGAGGTGTCAAAATTCGTGCTGGGGCCTTTGGTGGTGGTGACAAATGCTAAAAACATTCGGCATAAAATAAAAATTACGTGAAGTGAAAGCGTCAAACAAAAACTACTGAAGGATGATCTCGCTCTACTCTGATCAATGACTGGTACTGGTGTAGTATTAAATTCTTCTTTAAAAAGTTGGTACGGTATTAAGAGCCCTTTTACAAAATTGCGCCGCTGCCGTACTGATCGGCGCGTAGGTAGATTTGCACTAGTATATATTGCATTTTATGGATCATGTTTCGAGTCTTATAAAATAATTATTAATGAACGAATTATAAAAATATATACATATTTCTGTAGTTCAATGATGGTAGATTAGTTTTATGAAAGTTTTTGATAGTAATTCTATTTAATTCAATATCAAAATGCGAGGTAAACCTGCATTATTTTTTGAAATCACGGAGGTTAGATGTTTTTTTTTGATAATGAGAATGAGATGGAAAATCAAAATTCTAATACATTATGTTACAACAAAAACATATTTCTGATGTCGTGGTAATTAATTTGATCTAATTTACTGAATATTATTGAGAGATTTAGGCGTATGAAGTTGTGCATATTATCGTTCTTTCCGTAAACTAGCTGCAGTAGAATGATCAGTACAAAAAAAGGGAAATAGTATTTGCAAATATTCTACATTAACTTACAACAGGAAGAATAAATCTACTGTTAACTTCGAATGGAAATAATCAAAATCTTTTCAAAGGGGGTAAAGGAGACGCTCAAAAAATACGATTTCTTGCAAAAAATTTGAAAGGGCTCTTAAATAGTCACCTACACGGGACTTCGAACGGGACAGGTCCTGGGAACAACGTAAATAAAAACTCAAATAAAATATACAATATTATTTGTTCAACAGCTGATAAGCTTGCACAAAGGCTTTCAAAAGTAGCAACAATACACAGATAAGCCGTTTGACTAATCAGATGAAAAACTCATTAACAATTGTGTTATTTATATTATGAAGTATCGAATGTAACAGTCAACTCGCACGATAGGAACTCGTGGTATACTTTTACAGCAAAACTAAGTGTAGACAATGGAACTTGCGTAATTCACGTTTTAGTATGTAAAATTGCTGATTATTTTATGAATTTTATAGTGTTAGTTATAGAGGTAATAAAGTCATTTATCAAGGTTCGGATAACATCTCAAATCACTACCCGGGTCAATGAACTAAGTGACGCCAAAATTAGCGAGTTATAATTTCTCCTTATCTTTCCAAACGAGGTAAATCATACAGTGTACCTATTTATTACTGTGAAACATCTATTAATGGCCAGTTTCAATAATCAACCTCTAGTTAAAAATCCACGGACCAGGCAGCGGACGGGACCGCCTGGTCCGCGTGGTTTTTTTTTTTCTAGTAAACTTTTCTTTAGATTTAAACATCTAGCAGTTAAATGCTTAAAAAATAAATAAAATCATAACCTCTAGTTAGTTAAAGGTAAGGGAAGGTAAAAAGGTAAGGCCTATTCGCTAATGGTTTTTGACAGATGGAGTTGATAATCACCGAACTTTTTACAGAACCACTACTGCTTTACATTAACGCCACTGAGAGACTTCTGAAAAGCATCGGTACATGTATCTTCCATATAACATTTCTTTATATTTGATGCGTATCGAGATGGAATTCAAATATTCCAATTTAATACGGTTCCTGCTAAAAGTACAAGTCGTATTCGGTTATTTTTCCCACTTTATTTTAAGCAGGTCTGAACAAAACGGAGGTGTATCACAATATTCCAAAAGGGGCAAAATTTTCAATCTTTTTAATTTGTGTGTTATTTGGCAGCGCTTCATGAAGCATATGGACACGTCGCAACACTTCGCGCATGTCGACTCGGACACCAAAGAGCTTCTCATGGACTTCGTGGAGAAACACGCCATGAACTACCTGCACGAGTGAGTGGCATGGCATATTCAATGTCCATATTTTTATTACTGTTTATAAGGTTTATTTCTATATTAAAATAACATTGAAAAAAATCATCCTCATTACAGATTACCTAAATGTCATTCCCGTTACGGCTCTTGCCTCCGCTCGCAACTCTTGCAGCCGCCCTGGTCCATGCCCCTCTTGGTCGCAGTACTCCCCTACCCGTTCATAAAACTTAACAGAAATGCATGCATGATAGAACGTAATACCTTCCATGTCTATCCTAAGTAAAAGCGAATGGTTCTATAATAGTTTGCCGTCGGTGGTGTTCTCCCCGAGCGGCACTGACGACGAGCGCCTCGACCGCGCCATGTCCGAGCGCATCCAGCAGCTGAGCTGGGTGGGCGAGCGGCACCTGGAGTGCAAGCTGGACCGAAGGCACGCCGCCTGCAGGCAGCTGCTGTACAAGGCCATCAGTGGTGCGTATCATGTCGCGTGACACTGTGTAATGACGGAGCGCATCCTGCAGCTGAGCTGGGTGGGCGAGCGGCACCTGGAGTGCAAGCTGGACCGAAGGCACGCCGCCTGCAGGCAGCTGCTGTACAAGGCCATCAGTGGTGCGTATCATGTCGCGTGACACTGTGTAATGACGGAGCGCATCCTGCAGCTGAGCTGGGTGGGCGAGCGGCACCTGGAGTGCAAGCTGGACCGAAGGCACGCCGCCTGCAGGCAGCTGCTGTACAAGGCCATCAGTGGTGCGTATCATGTCGCGTGACACTGTGTAATGACGGAGCGCATCCTGCAGCTGAGCTGGGTGGGCGAGCGGCACCTGGAGTGCAAGCTGGACCGAAGGCACGCCGCCTGCAGGCAGCTGCTGTACAAGGCCATCAGTGGTGCGTATCATGTCGCGTGACACTGTGTAATGACGGAGCGCATCCTGCAGCTGAGCTGGGTGGGCGAGCGGCACCTGGAGTGCAAGCTGGACCGAAGGCACGCCGCCTGCAGGCAGCTGCTGTACAAGGCCATCAGTGGTGCGTATCATGTCGCGTGACACTGTGTAATGACGGAGCGCATCCTGCAGCTGAGCTGGGTGGGCGAGCGGCACCTGGAGTGCGAGCTGGACCGAAGGCACGCCGCCTGCAGGCAGCTGCTGTACAAGGCCATCAGTGGTGCGTATCATGTCGCGTGACACTGTGTACTGACGCCGCCATGACGGAGCGCATCCAACAGCTGAGCTGGGTGGGCGAACGGCACCTGGAGTGCAAGCTGGACCGAAGGCACGCCGCCTGCAGGCAGCTGCTGTACAAGGCCATCAGTGGTGCGTATCATGTCGTACGGAGTTTTGTTTCGAATTTTAGCAAAGTAATCTGATCTTTTCAGAAGTTTATATTGGTTCACTATTAGGCTTACCATACAAACTTTCGACCGCGATATTGTTCGTCCTTTTCAAATTACATTTTTGTGAGGATAAGTAATCTATGACCCTCTTCCTCTGTATTTCATCATCATCATCATCATCATAAGCCTATTAATGTCCTCCCCTTTACTTTACCTCCACTGCTAGGCCCTGCAGGCCGTAGGCAGGCAGGAAGATTGGTTCGTGACCTACCACGCGGTCCTGGTGTGGATTGATGTGTGACGTGTTAAAGGCTGCAGATGAAGCCGGGACTAACCAAAAGCACGGAAGAGCCCGAGATCTATTGAATTTTTTGATTACTCATCCAATTACCGACCATTGTGCTTAACTTCTACGATCGTAGGTTAAAAAAGTTAATCATCTGTTTTTACCTTTTTGCATTTATAATATTAGTTGGTATTTGGTGTGCGTAGAGCTGTTGGGCATGGACAGCGCATCGTCGCCGGGCGGCAAACTGACGCGCGTGCGGCGCTGCTGCCGCCACGTGCTGGCGCTGTGCGGCGCGCCTGCATCTGCCGACGACCTGCTGCCCGCGCTTATATTCACGGTGCGTGCGTGCGTGTGTGCGTACGTGTGCGTGTGTGCGTGCGTGTGCACGTGCGTGTTTGTGTGCGTGCGTATGAGTGTTTGTGTGCGTGCGTGTGTGCGTGCGTGTTTGCGTGCGTGCGTGTGCGTGTTTGTGTGCGTGCGTGTGCGTGTGTGCGTGCGTGTTTATGTGCGTGCGTGTGCGTGTTTGTGTGCGTGCGTGTGCGTGTGTGCGTGCGTGTTTGTGTGCGTGCGTGTGCGTGTTTGTGTGCGTGCGAGTGCGTGTGCGTGTGTGAGTGCGTGTGTGTGCGTGTGCGTGTGTGCGTGCGTGTTTGTGTGCGTGCGTGTGCGTGTTGGTGTGCGTGCGTGTGCGTGTGTGCATGCGTGTGCGTGTTTGTGTGTGGTGTGTGTGTATACTATATCGTCACGTGCTGGTGCTGTGCGGCGCAGCCTCTGCTAAAGACCTGCGGCCCGCGCTCATAGTATTTCCTCATCATCATCAGCTTATTAATGTCCATTCTGCTGGAGCACAGGCCTTCCCTATGGATGGAATAGGGAGATTGGGCCATGACAGACCGCGCGGGACCAACGGCTTAACGTGCCTTCCGAAGCACGGAGATACTCGAGATTGAAGATTTTTGGTCACCCATCCAATTACCGACCACTGCGAAAGTTGCTTAACTTCAACGATCGCAGCCAAACGCGCTAACTACCTGCGCCATCGAGTTCCCATAGTGTTTACTTATTAAAAAAGCGATAGCGAACTAAGAGTAAGTCGTTCGCATCGCAGTTGCGTAAAGGCAATGAGGTTCATTTTTGCAATGATACATTAAATAAAACTTGTTTTTACGAGTTAATGCACGAAACTTTATTTATTTATTGACGTTTCGTAGCCTTAACAGGCTTCGTCGTCAGAATAAAACTTTTATTTAATTTGTCGAGCTACCTTCGAAAGACTTATTGAGCGTTTTTTTTTTTTTGATGATGAATGATACATTGTTTTCCCGCAGGTGCTAAAAGCGAACCCGCCGCGTCTGGTGAGCAACATCAACTTCGTGACGCGGTTCTGCAACGCCCAGCGACTGATGACCGGCGAAGGGGGTTACTATTTCACTAACTTGGTGAGTATATTCAATCTTTTGGGTTTAACGTACATTATATTAGACTAGCAAACCAGTGAACCAAAAGTTCACCAAAACCGGATTTATTCCAAAAAAAAATGTATTTGATTAATTGAGAACTTCGGAGATTTTGTGTGGTTTCGTTTAAAATTCGTGATTTCTCGAAAACCGGAAGTGCTACGTTACTCAAATCCGGTTTGTAGTCTTATCAGACTATTCTTAACTTATAACTTAAATATTCTCTTTATGTATCTCTTACGGTTTGACCGCTGAAACAGCACCCGTCCGTATGTGGTGTGTGGACGGACTTTTCTAATAGATAAGAGATATTGATCTTTTCTTTCGACATTTGACGACCTCCGTGGCCGAGTGGTTCGTACGCCGGGTTTCATGGTGTCGCCGACTTGAGAGGTCCCGGGTTCGAATCCCGGTGGGGGCGGATGTTTGTGTGATGAATACGAGCATTTGTACTCCAGTCATGGATGTTTGATATGTAATTCTATAAAAATATACTTATACTAGATGTCCCAGCGAATTTCGTACCGCCATAAATTAATAGGGGTTTGTGGTAGAAGGGTGAAAATTTAGGGTTGTATGTATTTTTGTATGATGTATCATAAAAAAAATTAAAAAAAATATCTAAAATTGAAAAAAATTTAGGGGATTATGGATTACCCTTAACATTTAGGGGGATGAAAAATAGATGTTGTCCGATTCTCAGACCTACCCAATATGCACACAAAATTTCATGAGAATCGGGAAAGCCGTTTCGGAGGAGTTTAACCACAAACACCGCGACACATGAATTTTATATATAAGATATGTACAGTATATGTATTCTATCCGTTACCCTAGTATCCCATAATACATGCCTTATAGTGCTTACTTTGGGGCTAGGCTAATTGGTGTGAGTGTTGGAAATATTTATTATTTATTTTATTATAGTGAGGCGGCGGCAAAGCGATTGTTAGGCAACTATTATACAGTACTACATACAGCTCCATTTATTAAAAATGTGATTACATTTTTTTATTACTACAAATAAATCCGCGCTGTCTACCACGGGCCCGTCTGCTGCCTGGTCCGCGTGGATTTTTTCTAGTAATATTTCCTTTAGATTTAAACTTCAAGCAGTTACATGCTTAAAAAATAAAAATTATTTAAAGAAAAGTTTACTAGAAAAAAAATCCACGCGGACCAGGCAGCGGACGGGACTCGAACCCGCATCCTTCGCTATCCGGGCGAATGCACTGACCATTATGCTACCACGGCCCTATTAGCCGCGTCGAAATTTTTCTAGCCTTAAGCTGCAAGGCAGCGCCATCTCTTCGCATTGTAGGTAACCCACAATGTCAAATTAATACTTTTTCAAGTATTAAACATTTGAAAGAAGAAATAGCAATTATAGTTATTGATGTTTGTGCTTGCGATAAAATATCGCAAACACAAACATCAATATTATATTCACACGTATTCACATTTTTAATAAATGGAGCTGTATGTAGTAGTGTGTTTGTGTATGTCGTTGTGTTTCACCGTTTGTTTTATTTTTAGTATTATGTTTCTATCTGTGAAAACCTGTAATTGGCTTACTGTTTCTTATTATAAATGGTTTTTGTGTTTAAATAGGTTTTGGTTTGTCTATCTTTATATATATAATTCTTCTGTGAGTGTGTATGTCACTGAACTTATCTTAAACGACTGGACCGATTTTGATGAAATTTTTTGTGTGTGTTCAAGGGGATCTGAGAATGGTTTAGATTCACAAAGACGTGTAGACAGGACAACGTCTGTCGGGTCCGCTAGTCTTATATATAAAATTCTCGCGTCACAATGTTAGTTACCATACTCCTCTGAAACAGCTTGACCGATTTTTATGAAATTTTATATGCATATTCCGTGGATCTGAGAATCGGCTACTATCTATTTTTCATATCCTTAAGTGATAATGGTTGTCCACCTGTTACATAGTTTTCTGAAACCTACAATGCGCCTTCGCGCCTAAATTCAAACGTATTGGATATTGAACGTAGTGTTCTCATATGGGTTAGGAGGAATGTTATCCCAGAAAATTGATAGAACACTACGTTACACACCCCTAAAATTTTTTTTGGACAATATTTTTTGATAATGTGGTATTAAAAAATAAATACAGCCCCAAATTTTCTCTTCCACCACCTGCCCTGGTACTAGTTCGCTGGGTCAGCTAGTATATAATAATAAAGAGAGAAAAAAACAGCTCTTGCTGAGTTTGTTGCCGGTTCTTCGTGTTCGTGGTCTCCCATCGTAGACTCACGAACCAATGGCGTAGCATCTTGACATTCATGAGTGCTTGTCAACAGCCTAAATGATTATGATTATGAACACTGAAGATCTTTTTATAAAAATTATTTGCTATCCCCTTGGCCAAAGCCACACTGGTAACTAATTTTACTGATTTTCTCGCATCATTTTTTTTCAAGATTTCTAAACCTTGTACTTTGAAGGTTCTTAGGGGGAAAAAGGTTTAAAAAGAAATCAAACTTAACATACAATTCAACCCGATTGGAGTCTCAGTCAGTCGATTTATAGTTTTTTTTGTGTTTTTGAAGGGCATGACTATGTCTGTCGGGTCTTGTTGTTACAATATCCTTTTTAATATATTCTTCCCTAACTTCATTTTATTTTCAATTCTATCATATTCAAAGCTGACACAATTGTCCAATTGATTATCTATGTATAGCTTTAGTAGTCACATTAAAATTTTTATATTTTATATTTTTTAAGCGTGGTAACTGCAAGATTTTTAAATGTAAAGTAAATTTTACTAGAAAAAAATCCACGCGGACCAGGCAGCAGGCGGGACTCGAACCCGCGCACCCTTCGCTATCCGGGCGAATGCATTGACCATTATGCTTACGCGGCCCTGATGGCCGTGTCGAATTTTTGTAGTACTTCTTAGGCTGCAAGGCAGCGCCATCTCTTCGCGTTCGCACAATGTCAAATTAATACCTTTACAAATATTAAACATTTGAAAGAAGAAAAAGCCATTAAAGACAGTGTGGGTTACCTACAATGCGAAGGGATGGCACTGCCTTGCAGCCTAAGAAATACTAGAGAATATATTTAACACTGCCATCAGGGCCACGGTAGCATAATGGTAAGTGCATACGCCCGTATAGCGAAGAGTGCGGGTTCGAGACCCCTCTGCTGCCTGGTCCGCGTGGAATTTTTTCTAGTAAAATTTTCAACAAATTTGATTGCAGAGTTTTCACGTTTTGTGGTAGCCTGCCATGCTATTTATTGCCAGTAAACATGAGCACTTGTGGTATTCTGATTATTGTATATTATACCGTAGTGCTGCGCGGTGTCTTTCATCGAAAACTTGACAGCGGAGTCTCTGAACATGGACAAGAAGGAGTTCGACTGCTACATGTCCATGCCGGCTTCTATCGGAGGCAGTGCTTGGGTAAGAAGTTTTTTATTGATAATGTAAATGAATACGTGCTTCTGGTCGGTTTTTTTATTATTTTTATGAAGTTTGCGCTTGTTTTGATATCACAATACTACGGGACCAATTCAGTAGACATGATAAAAATATTATTCGATTTATTTAAATCTTTTTAACTTCTGAAGAGCACGGTCTCGTAGAGGTTGTTGGCATGTTCGGCTTTCGATAATGGAAGTGAGCAATTTTTTAAATAATTGGTCATTCTTAACAAATATTGCTGCGTGCCCCCGCATAATAATACATTTGAGTTCGGAGTAATAAATTTATTACTACGAACTCAAATGTATTATTTCGAACTCATTCGTGCTTGGAAAGGAACGTTAAACTGTTTGGTCTCACTTATACATGCTGCCGTTAGACCGAGCGTATTCTGAGCCACTAGTGACCACAACTTAATGCGTCCACAAGCTGCTGTCGAGTTTTTCATATATTTTGTATAGTATCGGCGCAATCTAAGCGCGTGAGTAGCTTTTAAGCTACTAGCTATGTTTAGTGATCGCGTTTATTGGCCCATTGTGCGCTTGCTCGTGACTCTAGAGGTCGCGTTTAGTGATTCAATGTGCGCTTGCCCGAGACTCAAGTGGTCGCGTTAGTGGCTCAATGTGCGCTTGCCCGAAATGTCATTGTCAAATGTGTACTGATTTTTAGTTCTCGTTACGCCCGTTTAGGCGCTGCTGTTTAAGATTCCATAAAAAAATTGACAATGACATTTCGCACTCGCAAACTATTTGAATTCTATAGTGGTTCGTGCTAAGGGTACAGTACCCCTAGCACGAACCATTATCGAATTCGAATAGTTTGCAAACCGAAATGTCAATGTAAAATTTTGTATGGAAACTTGAACAGCAGCGGCACAAAGTACGTAACGAAAACTAAACATCAGTACAAATTTGACAATGACATTTCGGACTCGCAAATCTTACGAATTCGATATTGGCTAGTGCTAGGGGTACAGTTCTGTCTCGCTCGCTCGATTGAATGTTTATTTACTGAAGCGGCGTGTGTGAGACTAGCTTATGCAGCTGAGTCGGAACATATTTTGGTTGATGCTAGTATGGGCGTACCGTATCTTCCCTATTTGTTTTAATCTAAGGTTGTTAATGTGATTGCGTGTTATAACAGGCTGCAGCGTTATCGCTCTGCGGTGCATCGCGAGAGGCAGAAGAGCAGCGAGAAGCCGCGCAACGTTTACTGCAGGACGCGCGTAATATGAGCGAGCGGGCCGCAGCGCTGCATGCCGACGCGGTCTGCTTCCAGGTATGTTGTGTGTTTACTGCAGGACGCGCGTAATATGAGCGAGCGGGCCGCAGCGCTGCATGCCGACGCGGTCTGCTTCCAGGTATGTTGTGTGTTTACTGCAGGACGCGCGTAATATGAGCGAGCGGGCCGCAGCGCTGCATGCCGACGCGGTCTGCTTCCAGGTATGTTGTGTGTTTACTGCAGGACACGGTCTGCTTCCAGGTATGTTGTGTGTTTACTGCAGGACGCGCGTAATATGAGCGAGCGGGCCGCAGCGCTGCATGCCGACGCGGTCTGCTTCCAGGTATGTTGTGTGTTTACTGCAGGACGCGGTCTGCTTCCAGGTATGTTGTGTGTTTACTGCAGGACGCGCGTAATATGAGCGAGCGGGCCGCAGCGCTGCATGCCGACGCGGTCTGCTTCCAGGTGTGTTGTGTGTTTACTGCAGGACGCGCGTAATATGAGCGAGCGGGCCGCAGCGCTGCATGCCGACGCGGTCTGCTTCCAGGTATGTTGTGTGTTTACTGCAGGACGCGCGTAATATGAGCGAGCGGGCCGCAGCGCTGCATGCCGACGCGGTCTGCTTCCAGGTATGTTGTGTGTTTACTGCAGGACGCGCGTAATATGAGCGAGCGGGCCGCAGCGCTGCATGCCGACGCGGTCTGCTTCCAGGTATGTTGTGTGTTTACTGCAGGACGCGGTCTGCTTCCAGGTATGTTGTGTGTTTACTGCATTACGCGCGTAATATGAGCGAGCGGGCCGCAGCGCTGCATGCCGACGCGGTCTGCTTCCAGGTATGTTGTGTGTTTACTGCAGGACGCGCGTAATATGAGCGAGCGGGCCGCAGCGCTGCATGCCGACGCGGTCTGCTTCCAGGTATGTTGTGTGTTTACTGCAGGACGCGGTCTGCTTCCAGGTATGTTGTGTGTTTACTGCAGGACGCGCGTAATATGAGCGAGCGGGCCGCAGCGCTGCATGCCGACGCGGTCTGCTTCCAGGTATGTTGTGTGTTTACTGCAGGACGCGGTCTGCTTCCAGGTATGTTGTGTGTTTACTGCATTACGCGCGTAATATGAGCGAGCGGGCCGCAGCGCTGCATGCCGACGCGGTCTGCTTCCAGGTATGTTGTGTGTTTACTGCAGGACGCGCGTAATATGAGCGAGCGGGCCGCAGCGCTGCATGCCGACGCGGTCTGCTTCCAGGTATGTTGTGTGTTTACTGCAGGACGCGGTCTGCTTCCAGGTATGTTGTGTGTTTACTGCATTACGCGCGTAATATGAGCGAGCGGGCCGCAGCGCTGCATGCCGACGCGGTCTGCTTCCAGGTATGTTGTGTGTTTACTGCAGGACGCGGTCTGCTTCCAGGTATGTTGTGTGTTTACTGCGGGACGCGCGTAATATGAGCCAGCGGGACGCAGCGCTGCATGCCGACGCGGTCTGCTTCCAGGTATGTTGTGTGTTTACTGCAGGACGCGCGTAATATGAGCGAGCGGGCCGCAGCGCTGCATGCCGACGCGGTCTGCTTCCAGGTATGTTGTGTGTTTACTGCAGGACGCGGTCTGCTTCCAGGTATGTTGTGTGTTTACTGCATTACGCGCGTAATATGAGCGAGCGGGCCGCAGCGCTGCATGCCGACGCGGTCTGCTTCCAGGTATGTTGTGTGTTTACTGCAGGACGCGCGTAATATGAGCGAGCGGGCCGCAGCGCTGCATGCCGACGCGGTCTGCTTCCAGGTATGTTGTGTGTTTACTGCAGGACGCGGTCTGCTTCCAGGTGTGTTGTGTGTTTACTGCAGGACGCGCGTAATATGAGCGAGCGGGCCGCAGCGCTGCATGCCGACGCGGTCTGCTTCCAGGTATGTTGTGTGTTTACTGCAGGACGCGGTCTGCTTCCAGGTATGTTGTGTGTTTACTGCATTACGCGCGTAATATGAGCGAGCGGGCCGCAGCGCTGCATGCCGACGCGGTCTGCTTCCAGGTATGTTGTGTGTTTACTGCAGGACGCGGTCTGCTTCCAGGTATGTTGTGTGTTTACTGCGGGACGCGCGTAATATGAGCCAGCGGGACGCAGCGCTGCATGCCGACGCGGTCTGCTTCCAGGTGTGTTGTGTGTTTACTGCAGGACGCGCGTAATATGAGCGAGCGGGCCGCAGCGCTGCATGCCGACGCGGTCTGCTTCCAGGTGTGTTGTGTGTTTACTGCAGGACGCGGTCTGCTTCCAGGTATGTTGTGTGTTTACTGCATTACGCGCGTAATATGAGCGAGCGGGCCGCAGCGCTGCATGCCGACGCGGTCTGCTTCCAGGTATGTTGTGTGTTTACTGCAGGACGCGGTCTGCTTCCAGGTATGTTGTGTGTTTACTGCATTACGCGCGTAATATGAGCGAGCGGGCCGCAGCGCTGCATGCCGACGCGGTCTGCTTCCAGGTGTGTTGTGTGTTTACTGCAGGACGCGGTCTGCTTCCAGGTATGTTGTGTGTTTACTGCAGGACGCGCGTAATATGAGCGAGCGGGCCGCAGCGCTGCATGCCGACGCGGTCTGCTTCCAGGTATGTTGTGTGTTTACTGCAGGACGCGGTCTGCTTCCAGGTATGTTGTGTGTTTACTGCAGGACGCGGTCTGCTTCCAGGTATGTTGTGTGTTTACTGCAGGACGCGCGTAATATGAGCGAGCGGGACGCAGCGCTGCATGCCGACGCGGTCTGCTTCCAGGTATGTTGTGTGTTTACTGCAGGACGCGGTCTGCTTCCAGGTATGTTGTGTGTTTACTGCAGGACGCGCGTAATATGAGCGAGCGGGCCGCAGCGCTGCATGCCGACGCGGTCTGCTTCCAGGTATGTTGTGTGTTTACTGCAGGACGCGGTCTGCTTCCAGGTATGTTGTGTGTTTACTGCATTACGCGCGTAATATGAGCGAGCGGGCCGCAGCGCTGCATGCCGACGCGGTCTGCTTCCAGGTGTGTTGTGTGTTTACTGCAGGACGCGCGTAATATGAGCGAGCGGGACGCAGCGCTGCGCAGGTTTCAGTTCAGTTACATACCGCGCGCACCTACTTCATTCTTAATATCGTTTACTGCGCCGCGACTTGTGCAAACTTCATAACCATCTTTGTATTCTCATGCACTATAACCACGCGTACGCCGTAGTCGCATTTTTATAAAAGTTATATTAATTGTGGTACTTAAAATCCAATAGGCTAGATGATTAGATAATCTTGAAAATATTATTCACACATACCATGTTTACTCACGATAATCATTTCTTCTAGGAACAAATCGCGAAAAAAGTTGAAGATGTTCTAGCGAAGACGCCCCTAGAAATCAAACCGCGGAGAGAACTTCCAAGACTGTGCAAATCGAAAACAGCGATCGTGACCCCGCTTATTGATCTAGAATTGAACCCGACACCTGCAGAACCACAGACTGCAATCACTGAGGAAAGTCGACCGCTAGTGGGCTATACCGTTCCATCCGAAGATAATTCTCAAAGCAGCCAACCTACCATCGCAGATCCAGTGCCAAATGTAGAAAAGGATTCTATCACAGACCGAATAAATAACACAGACACCGTACAACCAGCTTCGTCCATACATGAGCTAGAACACACGAACACAGCAAAGCAAGGCACTCAAGAAACTGAGCCTAAATTAAACATTCTCGGCTTCGAGGTCATAGAGAAGCCATCACCACCGAAGTCGCCACAGAATCTTGACCAGACATGGCAATTGAAACAGACGAGCTCGTTGGAACTACTCACTCCATCTCCTTTAGGCTTCACTCCTTTCGACTCCAGGTCTATAGACGAACTGATGACTCCAGACGAATTTGGTTCAGACTCTCTGGCTCCGGGCCTCAGCAACATTAATTACGATATAGACTTGTCCGACTTCAGCGGCGACAACAGCGTTGCTGAGGACCCCCCTAAGGAAGCCAAAGATCCTTTCAGTCCCGAAGGCCTAAAGAAAGCATTCGATCCTTTCGCGCCGCAACCGACAGCTTCCACGTTTAAAGAGGTTTTGGACAAATTCGACGAGTTCAGCCTGACGGATAACAAAACGAATCGGACTTTTGATCCGTTCGATGTGATCCACAGAAATGATCCTTTCAGTCCGGAACGCAAAGAAGGTTCTTCGATTCTCGATGACAGTGATTCCCCCACAACGGCCTGCCTGCTGCCATCGCCGTTGCAACCTCAGAGTAGTAATAAACCCTAAGTAATTCTAAGATCGAAACAATGTTTTTTTATTATTAAATCTTGAGAAATAATTTATTAAAAATATTTTGTGTACTTTTCATAATATTATTGTATTTATTCCAAGATCTCTTTTTAGGAAAGTGTTACTGAAATTTATTTGTTGTTAAGTGTGATATAAAATATTTAAGTAAATTATTATTCCATAAGGGATACATGAATACAGTGTTAGTGTTAAATTAAAAATAGATCTTGCTCATACTGTTTATTATTTATTGGTGTTTATTATTTCTTAAATATACTCAAATACCTTTTGACATTAATTTAAATACTTGATATGCCGATATTTCGCATTGCTATTCGTGTTTGCTTTTTCTCATTTTCACAGCAGGTTGTCCTTTTTATACTCTATAGGTATAGGTGTAAAAGGAGAGACTGTTGTCAAGTTTACAAATATTACTTGACAGCCTTGTCTCCCTTTCTTTCCCAACAACGTGCGATAAGGATATACTACAATGCAGCCCTAGCATGAGCACCGCGATATGATATAACACGTCTTTATCACGCTCAATTGTCAAATTACTATGGTATAGTTTGACAGTTAGACACGATAAAAAACGTGATTTAATATAAATTATTGTGCTCATGCTACGGGGGCAGATCTAGACTAAATAATATACAATACACACCCCTTTGATTACTTACTTCCTAGATAGAGCGTGGCAGCGCAGATGCGCTGAAAAAAATATCTCCCAGCTGGTGGGGTTTAAGTCGTTTCCCGTCACTTAGTGTTCAATACAACGCTGAGCGATTCGCACGTCAATTACCGAGTTTCGTGTTGAAATTATTGCTTAAAAATGCCGAGTTGCACGATAAAAGTTTGACGAAATTATAAATTTAGGCGCTTTGCAGACGACGGGGCGGGGCGGGCTTTTTGTCCGCGAAGCAATAAAGACCGCGTCTGCCCGTCGATGTCTGCGTATGCCTGCGCCGCGTACACAAAGCACACGACGGGCAGAGGCGGTCAGGTCAGGACGTTCGTTGTAGTGAATAGTCCATCACTAAAAAGCGCGTGGCGCGGACAGCTGACCGCCCCGCGCCTCCGTCTGCGTTACTGCATATAAACTGGTTTGTATGATCCACGGCGGGCAGCCGCGGACATGCCGCGCCGTCAGTGCCCGCCGGGCACCCAAGGCGCGGTCTTTTTGCCCTCTGTGTACGTTTGTAATATAGGATTCACTTTATGCTATCGTTCGCGGCGAAATTGACCGGCCCGCCCCGCCCCGTCGTCTGCAAAGCGCCTTAAACAACCAACAAATAGGGACACGAAAAAAGTATCGATATTTTGTGGTATCGAGTACTTTTCCTTTCGATACCGATACTTTTGTACTCGATACTTTGTATTCGATACTTTTACTAAATGAGTACTTTCTGGCAAGCATCGATAACTTTAAAAATTTGGATAAGCGCCTCATATTGATAGCAACGCCATCTTACGTTATCTTACGTAACGTTAAATCATAGCAAACCTTACGTTCCATAGGGTATTTGACAAGTTTTAGGCAACGATCTCACGTTATTGACTAATGTTTATGGAGTCCGTAAAAAGTGGATATTCATCATTCTGTCGTGTGTTTCAGTAAAAATAACCAAATCAAAAACTCCATTTTCAAGTTGCCGCGAAAACGTTTCTGTGGAAAATATGGCGTCTTACTAGTGTGTGACGTCACACGACTGTTATTAAAACGTCAAACGATACAATGCAATGTCACTTTGACCGGAAGTTTACTTGCGTGTGACGTCATTTTAGGCTCCGCCAATCCCAAGCGTTTTGGATTACGTGACAATAGACAAGAAAACTAATATCTTTTTCGTTATTTTGGCACTTTATTTTTAATACTGTCAAATTCCCTATTGCGCTGTTATAAAGTCAGTAACTGACATATTCAAATTCTTTCCAATCTATGACTGTGTTTATTTTGCTTTATTTCATAGTTATTTATTTAGCGACCATATTGTTAGGAACTGTGATTGATTCGCCGTTTATTGTGCTTTTCGCTTGACTGTATTTGATTTATCCAAGTGTAACACTATTTGAAACCACCTGAAAAAAAGACGGACCTCTTCTATAATTATAATCTTGAGTGAAGCATGCCAATGGCAGCCGTTAACTACGTGTCAGATTCAAGTTAACATAAGTGGGTATGATGTTTTTTAATGATTAAAATTCAGGAAAAGTAAGTTTGATTTGAAACAAATCTGAAAAGTTTCATACTTTTAAATTGTTTAAGATTTCGATCTTTTTAATTTACATTTTAATTATGAATGTAATATTAATGTACACTTTTTAGTGTCAGAAATCACAGTTATTTTCTTTTCATTATATAATATAACAATTTGTAAATTTACATGTCCTTTTTTTGTTTTTGATTATACGTACTATAGTAAAATTCGATTGTTTTTCTTTCAATCTTAACACCGGGGGGGGGGGGGGGGGGTTACTCCTCAGGCCATAGAGGCTCCGATAAGGCCTATAAAATGTACTCGTAAGTATCGATACTTTTGTTTCGATACTTTTACGAGTATGATACTTTTGTTTCGATACTTTTACGAGTACGATACTTTTTTACCGATACTACTCATGAGTACAGTAACGATACTTTCTATTCGATATCGTGTCCCTACCAACAAAGTCACTTACCATTGATAAATAACTCATTATTAACCTTAAAAAATTAAACTATAGCATCCTTAGATAAAAACAAAAAATTAAGATACGGTACGCTCAACATTACTTTAGAATAGCATTAAATAAAATGTGATCCGTCTCAACTACATAAGCGATTCTTACACATGCACACGCCTGTAAATAAACTTTTAATGGAGCGAGTAGGCTTGTTGAAAATATAGATAGATAAATTGCACACACACAAAAGAATACAAAAATAAGGAAACAATTACATAATGTGGGCAAAGGCGGCCTTATCGCTTTAAGCGATCTCTTCCAGACAACCTTTGCGGTAAAGGATAACTAAATGAAGAGGAAGTTGTAGTATGCCAGCAAGATAAAATAAAGAAATGTACATATTTTCTTAAACATATAAAGATTATATACAAATAAATAACATATACCTACACAAATATATATACTATATATACCTACACAAATATATATACTATATATACCTACACAAATAAATATATTATGCAATATTATATATTTATAGATATAGCAGACTAGGATTTGATTAAAAGAAAATCATGTAGTATATTTTTAAAAATGTTAAATGATTTAGCGTGACGGATCTCAGACGGAAGCTTGTTCCAAAGCTGTGCAGCTTTAATCGAAAAGGAGTCCATATAATACTCAGAGCGGGTGAGGGGTATCTCTAACACATTATCGTGTTATGAGCGCAAAACGCGACCGTGGTCCACACCAAGAAATTGGAAACGTTCCTTGAGGTAAGTGGGAAAATATATCGATGAATCGATACTTTTTGTTCGATTTATCGATATATTTTGATTCGATACATCGATACAAAATAACCAATATCGAAATTCGTATCAAAAACTATATTTTTATTAATTAATAGCGGCATATCACAATCTGACTAAATTCGTTTCTGGAAAAATCGTAACTGGATCTCAGATTAATGATATTCAACATATCTATGATCTGTGCTGTATTTGGTATTGTCTATTATTTGTAAATCTGTTTCGCTGGTGAATTGGTTGTGCCACGGAGGAAAAACAAAGAGGAGGTGTGGTGATTAAACGACGCGTGATAATTTGCGGGATGCGGGGTGTTCAGCTCCGCCCACTTCTCAATATTTCATCTATCGGCTAATAGCAAAACTAGCTTAGGTTGATATTAATGTTACTACGTAGTAGTTCAGCTATCTAACACTAGATGTTCAAAAGTTTTGTATATAATTAGACGTACTCAGAACTTGAAGCTTCAAAAAAATGAAATATGTAGGTAAATAAATAAAATAAACGTTAACAAATTTGACCGATTTTAAAATTTTTAAGGTATAATTTTTATTATTTTAAAACATGTAACTGCTTGATGAAAAAAAATCCAGGCAGACCAGGCAGCAGACGGGACTCGAACCCGCACCCGCTCCCGTCTGCGGCCTGCGCCTGGTCCGCGTGGATATTTTTCTAGTTATATTTTCTTTAGATTTAAATTTTAAGGTAGTTTAAAAATAATAGACAAAATGTTATTACAAACATAATTTTATTAAAAAACATCAATTACCTGTAAATAATAGTTTTGGTTAGTTGTTGTCGGTTGTTTGCCCTATCGTTTTGTATTGTGGCAAAATGCTTAAAACGAATATCAATATATTTTTCTGCAATCGATTTCATCAGAAATACAACATGATTAACTGTAGGTGATTGGTCAAATATATGGTTGGCCGATTTTTTGAAACAATCTTGTCCAATAAGTGATTTTAATGTATTCGATACAATTTTATGTTTACGAAAGTTAGGAGTATTCAAAGATTGCGATTTAACACAACGAATACTGCCTTCGGTCCGTATACATATTTTTATGACATCTCTAGATGGGAAAGTAAGACCACCCTTATTTTTAGTTTTTATCAAATCAAGGTCACTATCGTCGTAGTTATCAGCATATAATTCTTTGAGACAGCTCTCACATTTGATCTTGGAATGTAAATATTTGACCACATACCCAGAAATACATGCTACTATTTGACGGCGCAAATAGTCACCTATAGTTGTATTTAATTGTTCATCAAATTCCAATAACATATCGTCAGGCATAGGCTCGACATCCGTGCTATCCGAAGACTCGAAACTCATTTTATTTAAAATGCGATAACGTTCTGATGTAATATTAATTTTTTGCACAGAAGATTCATTTAAAATGGAAATATCTTCTTGTTCTATGGTGTCCAATCCGGTCTATTAAGTTTTGAAATCCATTGCTGTTTTAAATTATCGTTGGATGGAAATCTAAAACGAACATGAAAATAATTAAAATTTATTTACTTGGTAAAATAATTTAATACGTATTACGGCCCTGGATATTTGTAACGTTTAAAAAGTTATTCTATATGACGACAGATGGCGGCCAGTTAGTAATATATTGATAAAATTACTGTTTTAGATACTAAAAGTTATTTAGGAATAAGTGTATAACAGTTTTCAGTATTTACGTATGATTATTACAATATACTACTGCAAAATTATACGTAAACTTGTGTATTTTCTTCCTAAAAGTGTCGCCATCTGGTGTCAAGTAGTAGAATTTTAACGCTGATAGCTGAGGCTGAGAATGTTCTAGAACTTATATATTTAATTACGTATAAAATTACTTACAAATGAAATGTGATGCCATCCATATTATCAGAACGTCTGTCTGAGTAACTTTGACATAGTAAAACACAAAACTTCATCCTTTTCTTGTTAAAAACGCAAAAAAACACTTATAATGCGAGTCTCGTTAAGTGTGCACCTGACGAACGCTGAAAGCATACTGACTAGGGACACGAAAAAAGTATCGATACTTTGTGGTATCGAGTACTTTTCCTTTCGATACCGATACTTTTGTACTCGATACTTTGTATTCGATACATTTACTTATTGAGTACTTTTTGGCAAGTAAGTATCGATACCTTTAAAATTTGGATAAGCGCCTGATATTGTTATGACATATTCAAATTCTTTCCAATCTGTGACTGTGTTTATTTTGCGCTTTGTTTTGTTTCATAGTTATTTATTTAGAGACCATATTGTTAGGAATTGTGATTGATGATTCGCCGTTTATTGTGCTTTTCGCTTGACTGCATTTGATGTATTCAAGTGTAACACTATTATTCTGTCTGTGCTGTGTATACCTGTTTGAAACCACGGACCTGAAAAAAAGACGGACGTAACCTCTTCTATAATTATAATATTGAGTGAAGCATGCCAATGGCCGCCGTTAACTGCGTGTCAGATTCAAGTTAACATTTTAATTATTAATGTGATATTAATGAACACTTTTTAAGTGTCAGAAATCACAGCTATTTTCTTTTCATTATATAATATAGCAATTTGTGAATTAACATGTCCTTTTTCTGTTTTTGATTATACGTACTATAGTAAAATTCGATTGTTTTTCTTTCAATTTTTAACCCGTGGGGGGGGGGGGGGGGGGTGGTTGCTCATCAGGCCACAGAGGATCCGATAATTCCCTATGAAATGTACTCGATACTTTGAAGTATCGATACTTTTGTTTCGATACTTTTACGAGTACGATACTTTTTTACCGATACTACTCATGAGTACAGTATCGATACTTTCTATTCGATATCGTGTCCCTAATACTGACTTAGGCCCCGCCCACGATGATGACGTCAGGACCTAGTTGAAAATCACAGTGCACAGTTGCTTAGGCCAGCTCCTCTTTGTTTTTCCTCCGTGGGTTGTGCTGATTTGCATAATATAATCTGTGGAAGTGTGTGACTGTCTAGTCTTGTTCACGAAAGATGGCACCTGAGAGGCCTTGCAATCATTTTCATCATTCGAAAATAGGGTCTATTTTTAGGGAGATAATGTTCGTTCCATTATTATTTCGCGTGTCATAAATATATTTTTGGAAAAATTGGTCCGATATATCGATGTTTTTTTCGCGATATATCGAAGCCGATATTGATATTTTTTAAATATCGATATTACGATATATCGATATTGTTATATAGAGTGCACATGCAGCGTGTTTGAATGTCAACGCACCCCCGAGAATAGCCAGTAACGAATGTGTTTCTGTGGCCTCTGCCATCCCTCAAAGCACGTTTTTAGGGTTCCGTCCGTACGTTCTGTACCGTCAAAAGGAAAAAACGGAACCCTTATAGGATCACTTTGTTGTCCGTATGTCTGTCAAGACCGTTTTTCTCAGGATCACTTCTAAGCCAAAGCAATCAAAAGATACTGCCGTTTATGCCGCAAATTTTCGAAACTCGCACGGGAATCAAAACCTGGCGAATGGCCCCCTGGCCCCTGGTCTTTTTTTCTCGCAGTGTTTATAAGATGACGCTCTATCTAGAGAGTAAATAATCAAAGCTTTGAACTTGGAATTCTTAACGAAAAAAAAACTTGAAATAGGCAGAAAAGACTTTTTTTTTCATTATTTATCTAGTAATTTGGAGCTTTACTCTCTTCCTGCGAAACGAAATTTCGGTAACGAACGAATTTTAAACGAAATTTCGCCATTGACTCTACTCTAAGGCTCAACTCACACCAAAAGAGCGTCGTAACGCAGCGAAGCGGAGCGCAGTTTCAGTGTCATATGAATTTTAACTTTATTTTCATTACTATAATACTTATTATCGCATGAGAAACTCGAACGACTCGCGCGGATTTCCGCGGCGCCCCGCGGGAATTCCGACGAATTCCATAAGCGCGCCTTTTCTACCGAGCGGGTCGCTCCGCTTCGCTGCCCTTCGCCGCTCTTTCGGTGTGAGTTGACCCTAATTCATTTTCGAAAGTTCGGAACCATAAAAAGTTTCGTGAACGAATGGATGAGTCATGTTTGTGAGTTCTTTTTATCTCTATTTTTAAGAATACGTTTTTTTAGTTTGAAGCAATATTTAAAGGTAGTTTACGGCAAATTTTTTGATGACATTGAAAGAACCTTCTTTGACAGTGTTAGTTGACTAATTTGTAGAGTTGATACAATCTACTGTATGTCAACCTAAATTTGTCGTTTAATTTAATACTTTGAAGTATCGAAATTACATTAAATAATAATAAAAAAATGGTTTATTTGTTAATTTTACATGCTAAAAATGTTTCTCGAGCTAAGCAGCTATTATTAAAATACTCTTGCAAGAATTTTAGGCTTAATTAAAACAAAAATTTAAAAACGAAAATGAATAGGCTTTTCATTTCGCCAATGGTGTCGATTCCGGCATGATTCTCTAAACTTAAAGCTAAATATAACATCAGTCTCTCCTTTTCACTCTGTACAGAGAATTACAAAGATACACTGTTGTCGAAAAGTTTAGGTTTAGAGAATCGATACCAATTTGAGGTTAAAATTTCGAATTTATCTGTCAAATTCAACTTTTCCTTCGAAAGTTTTGTGAATTAGGGTGCGGCCAGAGTGCACTCAGATTCAGAGTCAGATTCAGATTCTGAAAACAAGCGCGAGAAATAAACAGTGTAGTCTAAGCAGGTTGCCTGCTTTTTCTCGCGCTTTGTTTTCTGAGTCTGAATCTGAATCTAAATCAGGAGTGCAATCTGGCCGTACCCTTCGACTACACTGTTTATTTCTCGCGCTTGTTTTCGAAATCTGAATCTGAATCTGAGTGCACTCTGGCCGCACCCTTAGACTGGATTAATTGGACGAACGAATTTTCGAAATGAAAAGGAAACAGAGTAAGGAACGTGCGAAATTTCGATCAATATTTCGTTTTTCGTTGAAATAGAGTAGGCCTCCTGATAGTCCTGGAGCTCTACTCTCTTTCTCCGAAACGAAATTTCGGCAACGAACGAATTTTAAACGAAATTTCACCAGTGACTCTACTCTATTTCATCTTCGAACACGCACATAAAATTCGAAATCACAGACAATCATCGTGAACGAATGGAATGAGTTATGTTTGTGAGTTCTTTTTGTCTGCACTTTTTAGATTAGGTTTTTTACTTCAAAACAATATTACTTTATGACAACATTTTTGATTACATTAAAACAACCTCTTTTGACAGTGTTAGCCGACTAATTTGTAGAGTTGATGCAATCGAATGTATGTCAACCTAAATTTGTCGTGTAACACTTTGAAGTATTGGCAATACTTACTTATTGTAAACAAAACAATGATTAATTTGTAAATTTTTTATCAACTTTTAGTTCAAAAGGTTTGTAAATTAGAGTAGGCTTAGAGAATTTGAATGTCAAACTGTTTTCGGACGAACGAATTTCGAAATAAAATAGAAACAGAGTAAGGAACGTGCGAAATTTCGATCGAAATATCGTATTTCGTTGAAATAGAGTAGGCCTCCTGATACTAAACGAAAATAACGTTTCGTTTCGTACAAATGTTTGTCTGTGACTCATAGGCTGTATGACGCATTTTGTCGTCTTTGCCTTTTCCGTTTAGTGAATGGAGAGAACGGAACCAAAAAAAAAGATCTTTTTTTATAAAAGTTTTTGTAGTGTTGACTACCTCACAGAAGCTTATCGAAAAAGCCAACTCGATACATTTCGTGCCAAACACTCCAAGAAACATTAGAATGCGTCACACCGACACTCTAATGTAAAAATAAAAAGAAGATAAATTTAATTAAAGACTAGGCTGTATGGGCATTGTTCCCTTTGCCTTCTCTAAAACGGGAGAACTTCAACAAAAAAAAAAAAAAATAACATGCATGGCATGACAGATAAATCCGTGAAACGGAACATAAATACAGTGACAGCGATTTCGACACGAGTGGTATTTTTGTAAATGAGTTTTTGCATTTTTTACATTATTTAAACAAAATAGTTAAAAAATGCCGGCAGCGCGAATTATTAGACGGTTATTTAGTCCTCGTACTGTTAATTTTAGTGCTTGTTGCCATAGAAATGTGTCAAAAATACAAGTTCGTCAAAGTGGTACCGTAGGTGCAAAATCGAATTTATATCTTCCAGTCGTTTTGAAGGCACGAAATCTAGGCTTAGGACCTACATCGAAAGATTTTGAGGACCCAGCTCAATTTACCGGACCACTGACAAAAGCACACGCAACAGAACTTGTTCTTCATATGAACAATGACGAGAGGAATTTATTATACACAGCGTTACAAGAATACGAATCAAATCGAGTTAAAGAGGAATTCGAAGGTAAGCTTCAACATCGATGTTTGTGTTATTTTTATAACTTGAGATTTATAGCATGGGTGATTGATTCCAGATAAACTGGCTGGTCTAAGATGGAGAAGCAAATTTGGCAGACCTAGTAGTGTACCTAGTTTGGGTGACGTCGATCCCACGGGCACCTATTGTCCTGTTCCCGAAGACTGGTTGAAGAAAAAATATGGTAAGCTGGCATACCTTCAAATAAATCCTGTTTTATCTAGTTTAAACTGGTATTAAAATGCTAATTTTGTTTGTGATTCATTAGTAATAAAAAAGTTGAACGTAAGTCATAAAGACCATAAATATTTTTATTCAAATTAACATCACATCACTCCATCATTACGCCAAGAACAGCAGATAAATGAATGTTGATAAAGTCTTACATTAAATGTCAATAGTGCAATTATACGGCATTTAGAAATCGGAGTTAAGATTGTTATTGAAAAATGAATACATGAAACATCTACTCATCATAGTGTCACAGCTACACATCATAGCTTCCAAGTGTAATTGTTTTTTTGGACTTGAAAATAAATTTTAAAGTATATCTACCACTTAAGTATCACTAGTAATATGACGCAAATTTCAACTCTGTTAAATACCATGTGTTTGCATACTCTAATAATTTATTATATTTTTCAGCTTCAACAGTGCCAAAGCCAACAACTAAAGAGCTTTTGCATTGTAAGTAACTAAATATTTGTATAACTTACAAAATGCCATTATGAAAACATTAACTTTTTTTATCAAGTTAAGGCCAGCAAAAGGTGATGTTATCTGTACTCCTAGCATGAACCAATATCGAATTCGGATTTGTTTGCGAGTCCGAAATGTCATTGTCAAATGTGTACTGATTTTTAGTTCTCGTTACGTACTTTGTGCCGCTGCTGTTCAAGTTTCTATACAAAATTTGACATTGACATTTTGTTTTGCAAACTATTCGAATTCGATAATGGTTCGTGCTAGGGGTACTGATGCAGCATTCATCAGCTGGCATCACATTTCAATTCCTCTTACATTTAATATTAGGGTGACCATCATCAACAAAAGAAGTATAAACAGCAGTCAATGCAATAATGGATAAGATTAAGCTCTGATTTTAAACATTAATGTTATTTATGAACTGAATGTCAAAGTACAAAAGTCACCTCAGTCAACAAAAGAGGTGGAAAGAGGAAAGGAAATTGTTTGCAGTAAGCTGACTATTGCTTGTCCATAATTTTATTTATGAAGTCTCGTTTAAAGCAAAACAATGAGGCAAATTTAAAATAATGCCATGAGTTGTTGCCTACCTGCTTTTAAATAAAAGAAGTTTTGTATTTTATTTTTAATTATTTTAATTTTTTTTTGCAGTAGCATTATCGAATGCGATACCATTCATAGGTTTTGGATTTTTGGATAACTTCATAATGATAATTGCTGTGAGTACCAAATCAAGTTTTTTTAAACTCATAGTATACTTTCTTGTTACTTTAATTTTGTTTGCCAGTAAATAGTTTTAACTGCTTTTTTATCAACATTACTCATCTCATTGCCCATTTAATGATCTTAATTTAAATTGTATCATATATTTATATCATGTAAAGTGCCCGAGCTATATAATTTATTCAGTACTATTTAAAAGCTTTAGATTATTGGTATAGATAGAGCTACATAACAGGTGCACAATAGGTCAGTCACTGGGTCCTTTATTAATAATGTAATATCTGAGGCTCATTAAGACAGTTGGTCTCCGTTGCATCTGCAAATATTAGCACTAACTTATGTGCATTGGATCATTCGCCCTGTATATTTATATGCACAGATCTGATTTGTATTTTATATCTTATTTATATGCACAGATCTGATTTGTGTTTTGTGCAAATGACTGTACCCCACCTGATGTTAAGTGGTGATAAAGTCCAAATGCGAAGATAGCTTGTACAGCAGTTATAAACTGCCACCATCCTCACCTTGCTGACCTGCAAAAACGCTTGGGTCCTTTAAATGAGTTCTTTAAAGGACCCCCGATTATTGAAAGGAGGGACCCTTACTTACTGCAATCTGGGGTCCTTTAAGAGAGGCGTGAAGAAGCATTTTTGCAGGTCGGCAAGGTGAGGAAACTCGTGAGCAGGCAAAGAATTCCACTTACGAATAGTACGACAAAGAATTTAGTCACCAGATTTCTTTGTTTATGTAGGAATAGTGGCCAAAGTAAGTTGTTTAGTTATCTTTGTAAACTAAAAAATAAATATTTCAGTCTAATAAATTATCTATGTAATATAAAACATCAAGTTGTTCTAATATATAATCTACTTAGATTATCTATGTTATTAATATCAGTATAGATATTGTTGGGGCTGCTTCCGTGCCGTTATTACGGTATCTAGGCGTGGATATAATTAATGGTCCATACTCTATTCAACTTCCTCGGCCACAAAAGGTAAAGAAACCAATGTTTCTAAATATTTATTATTCAGAATAAAGTAGGTCTGTGTAACCAGACTGATTACAAAATTTCACATTTGAACGTAATTTTTTTAATTCTCATCACTTTTCTTCTTGGTATTATAATGCATACGAAGTTTGGGAATAGCTACAGGTTTAGCTTTTATTAATTTCACTTTTTGTTACTATAATTTTATTATACTTATAATATTCGACCTATAGAAAAACCTTTCTATGGTTTGTTTACCTTTTGTCTCGTTGAATTTGAATAGAGCATAGGCGTGTATGTACCAAAGGTATATAATCAAAGGTTTAGATGTTCGATGGGCGCTTTCATTCTAGTTAAAATTCGTGAAAACTAATAAAGCATCGATCGTGTAGGGCGATAGAATAGAGAGCAGCATGAGCGCGTACATAACGCTGTCGACGATGGCGGCGGCGGCGCTGGGCAACACGTTCAGCGACGTGATCGGCATCGGCTCCTCGTACTACGTGGAGCGCGCCGCGGCGCTCATCGGCCTCGGCGCGCCCGCGCTCGCGCCCGTGCAGCTCGACATGCCCGTCACCAGGCGGGTCACTAACATGGTGAGTGCCCGGCTCATATATAGGCAACACGTTCAGCGACGTGATGGTGCAGCTCGACATGCCCGTCACCAGGCGGGTCACTAACATGGTGAGTGCTCAGCTCATATATAGGCAACACGTTCAGCGACGTGATGGTGCAGCTCGACATGCCCGTCACCAGGCGGGTCACTAACATGGTGAGTGCTCAGCTCATATATAGGCAACACGTTCAGCGACGTGATGGTGCAGCTCGACATGCCCGTCACCAGACGGGTCACTAACATGGTGAGTGCTCAGCTCATATATAGGCAACACGTTCAGCGACGTGATGGTGCAGCTCGACATGCCCGTCACCAGGCGGGTCACTAACATGGTGAGTGCTCAGCTCATATATAGGCAACACGTTCAGCGACGTGATGGTGCAGCTCGACATGCCCGTCACCAGGCGGGTCACTAACATGGTGAGTGCTCAGCTCATATATAGGCAACACGTTCAGCGACGTGATGGTGCAGCTCGACATGCCCGTCACCAGGCGGGTCACTAACATGGTGAGTGCTCAGCTCATATATAGGCAACACGTTCAGCGACGTGATGGTGCAGCTCGACATGCCCGTCACCAGGCGGGTCACTAACATGGTGAGTGCCCGGCTCATATATAGGCAACACGTTCAGCGACGTGATGGTGCAGCTCGACATGCCCGTCACCAGGCGGGTCACTAACATGGTGAGTGCCCGGCTCATATATAGGCAACACGTTCAGCGACGTGATGGTGCAGCTCGACATGCCCGTCACCAGGCGGGTCACTAACATGGTGAGTGCTCAGCTCATATATAGGCAACACGTTCAGCGACGTGATCGGCATCGGCTCCTCGTACTACGTGGAGGTTCTTGTCAGAACAGGTTTTTGCGACACGGCGCGGTACTTGCGATATCTTTTTGGTAAATAGTAGGTACTGGATTAACGATTAACGGACTAAGGATGATTTAACGGAAGTTAACGAGTCCGTTAACATTTTTTAAAGGTAACTTAAAAGCTAATCCGTTAATAGAAATGTTAACTTCGTTAATTAACGGATTAACGAGTTAATGCCCAGCTATGTTTTCTAATAGGATGACCAAAATGACCATCTTATTTTTGCGAATTCAAACATAAAAGTGTACACAAAGCATAAATAGTATTTTTCACTTAACTATACTGGACTATTCAAAGCACATAATCCGTACCAATCATTCAATAAATTGTTTTTTTGTAAATATAAATTTTCAGTGATTTTGATATCATATTACTAATACTCACTGATTTGTTGTCCTTACTTAATTATAATCATGTTCAACCTAAAAACCTAATGTCAATTCATTGATAAACCCACATTGACTGACTCTTCGTATCATTTTGAAATCGCACAGACTCAACAGTTATTATGAGTTAAATACATGATCAAGAGACGAGCTCGACGACGCAAGTGGTTAGTGTGTTCGGCTGCGATTGTTGAAGTTGAGCAACTTTCGCAGTGGACGGTCATAGGATGGGTGACTAAAAATTTACTATCTTGAGCTCCTCCGTGCTTCGGAATGCACGTAAAGCCGTTGGTCCCGGCTGCATCTGCAGTCGTTAGCATCCACCAATCCGCACTGGGCCCGCGTGGTTGGTCATGGACCAAATTTTCCTATACCATCCATAGGGAAGACCTACGCCCCCTGCAGTGAGTACATTAAGAGGTTGATGATGAAATACATGATCTAGTTTCACATTCGTAAATGCACTTACACTCACAAATCTTTTCGAAATGCACTACTAGCATGAGAGTAAGTTAATTCATCATCATCATCAGCCTATTAATGTCCCAATGCTGGGGCACAGGCCTTCCCTATGGATGGAATAGGGAGATTAGGCCATGACCCACCACGCGGGCCCAGTGCGGATTGGCGGGTGCTAACGACTGCAGATGCAGCCGGGACCAACGGCTTAAAGTGCCTTCCGAAGCACGGAGGAGATCGAGGTAATAAATTTTTTGGTCACCCATCCAATGACCGACCACTGCGCAAGTCGCTTAACTTCAACGATCACAGCCGAACGCGCTAACCACTTGCGCCATCGAGCTTCTCCGAGTAAGTTCATTGATTATTGCTAACTAGCAAACCAGTGAACCAAATGTTCACCAAAACCTGATTTCTCGAAAACCGGAAGTGCTACGTTACTCAAATCCGGTTTGTAGTCTCATCAGACTATTCTTAACTTATAACTTAAATATTCTCTTTATCTATCTCTTACGGTTTGGCCGCTGAAACAGCACCACAGACGGACGGACGGACTTGTCTAATAGATAAGAGATTATTAATCTTTCTCATTTTGCAGGGTCGAGTGATCGGCATCACAATAGGTTGCTTCCTGGGCATGATACCCTTACTCTTCAAGAGCGACGACAAGGAATCCACCAAACCGGACAGCCCCGATAAAAAAGCGAAGTAATCAAATTCATTACACGTACATAGATATCTAGACAAAAACAATATCATTTTTAGTCAGGTAGTTCTACCTGTTCATAACTCCAATTTGAATGTATTGTGAATTTTGTAAATACCTATTAATTGTTAGTACTCAAACCGCGTTTTTATTGTAGAAATATATTAGTGTCGATTCTGACATGATTCTCTAAACTTAAAACTAAATTGGACATCAGTCTCTCCTTTTCACTCTTTATAGAGAATGACAAGGATAGATTGTTGTCAAATTTAAGTTTAGGTTTGGAGAATCATGGCAGAACTGACACCATTGACAACCTAGCAGGCAATAAAGATTGTGAAAACCTTTGTGACCAAAAACTTGTGTATAATGCGATTTGACTAAGAATAGGATCGACTGGGCGCCATATTTTGAGGTCATAGCTGTCAATTCAAACCAAATAGGTAGAGTGAGCAAAAAAATGTTGCTAATTAATGAAACTTATTTACTAAGATTAAGTGAGACAAAACATCAGATTTTTAATAAAATTAATTTACTAAGGTTGAGAAAGAACAAAATCGATTTTTAATAGTATTTCTTTATTAAGACTGTGTGAAAAAAAAAACATTAATAAGAATCTAGCTCTTTAATTTCGCTCAAATCTGTATTACCGCCGGAGAAGTTATGAATAATCATGCAGGTCACATACGAACATGCATCCTATATGTAAACGAAAGTTTTAAATCGAGTTTTTGAATGCAACATAAAGTGACATTTGGTTGACGATTTAAGTTATCAACCATTCATATAATAATTATAATAATAACATTTATTTCAGATTATTCATCCATAATGGTTAGTAACAATTATGCTTACAAATCTAGTGTTAGTAAATTGAATTCATAAAATAAAATTAGATAAAAAACAAACATATTAAGCCATAGCCAAAGCTAAATAAATGAAAAAAAAGCAACTAATATTAATTATCAACGTTTGTTATTGTTTATTTTAATATGTTTGGTTTTTATTCTAGAATCAGCTGAGTGCTAAAAAAGATTTCCGAGATTTTTTTGCAAACCGTACTTTTCAGGCGACCTTTGACAGATGGAGGTCATTGGCTTTCCTATTCTTATTTGAATCGCATTATACCTATGATGCCATGCCTACCTGAAATATTTTTATAACGAAACCGCGGCTCTACGCCTCTGGTGTCTAGTCTGTCACCTTCACTTTAACAAAGTACACTTTGTAGGACCAAGCACGAGTAGTGTAGATTCGAATAAATTGACATAACACAATGATCATAGTTAGGGTTACCAACATTTTTTCTATCGAATACAGTAGTAAAAAAAATATATATAGTGATGTCGATTCTAGCTGATGATTCTCTAAAGCTAAACTTAAATTTGACAGCAGTGCATCCTTGTCCTTCTCTATACAGAATGAAAAGGTGAGACTGATCTTAAATTTAGAGAATCACGCCAGAATTGACACCAATATGTGCTTAAAATATTGACTTTATTTTTGAAATGAATGTATTTCTCCTGCTCTATGCCTTCATAATTAAATTTTTATTTTCTAAGAAAGCTGTTTCTGAAAATATCTGCTTTTAGCATAATATAGTAGTTTCGCCTACTATGTATTGTTTTTTTAGAAATGTAGTCTTTGATCCCCTGATATAGTAGGATACTATATTATACAGGGTGTTACAAAAATACAAATAAAGCTTGAAGGGCGTTGAAGTACATCATATAAGGAGTCTTCTCTAATTTTCTTAAAATATTTGCAAGAAGTTTGAACTTTTTATAAAAACAGTTATTTTTAATGATTAATAAAAATATCGATCATTTTAAGACACGTCACTAGTTCGGGGTCATGCACCTTACCAGGAATAGTAATAAATCTGCTGTAATAAAGAAAATTAGAGAAGCTTCCTTATATGATGTACTTCAACGCCCTTCAAGATTTATTTGTATTTTTGTAACACACTGTATAGTAGGGTTGGCAACCCTAGTCATAGTCCATAGAATCTGTAAATTGCGATGTTGTATCTAGGGTTTTTGATATCGTTGCTAACGAAAGACGCACAGGTAATCATCATGTGGTGACTTCTTTAAAATTAGTTGGAAAATAAAATTTATGCACAATATTTTTTTTATATATCTTGTTGTTTAGGTTACAGAGTCATCAAGGACCCCTTATTCAGTCGAGTGCGCAATATTGTTTTATTCTATAATAATAGTTTAGTACATAGTCTTTACTGAAAAATCAGTATAATTTCATCATTACCTCTTAGTCCCAAACGAGCGAATTTGCTAAATCTCGATACAACCAAAACTAGTGTACGTCCCACAGAAAATCGTCAATGTCAATTTGACATCATTATATGGGCTTGAGGAGCTCAATGCCGCGGGTGCGCGTTCGGTTGCGATCGTTGAAGTTAAGCAACTTTCGCAGTGGTCGGTCATTGGATGGGTGACCAAAAATCTTATATATCTTGGGTTTCTCCGTGCTTCGGAAGGCACGTTAAGCCGTTGGTCCCGGCTGCATCTGCAGTCGTTAGCACCCGCCAATCCGCACTGGGCCCGCGTGGTGGGTCATGGCCCAATCTCCCTATTCCATCCATAAGGAAGGCCCGTGCCCCAGTAGTGGGGACATTAATAGGCTGATGATGATGACCGTGAGGTATGGGCTATATCTAGTTTTAATTAAATTGAGATTTAGCAAAATTGCTGCAAGTGTACCTTGAACCCACATAGATAACTTTACTCGAGTATGGATATTTTGACTACAACAAGTGTTTATTTTACTATGAAAAATGGTAACTCTTTATAATCGACTTCTATTTGTAAATGAAGTGGTCATATCTATAATTAAAAAAAAAAGCGAGTGTGCTTATGATCACACGACTGAAGTGAAACTTCTTTAATTCCAATGATCTGAAAATCATAAACTTAACCTGAAGATTTGTTGATAGAATAAAACCACCAATCCGCGCTTGGTCCATTATCACCCTCCAATCCGCACTGCGTCCATTATCACCAATCCGCGCTGGGTCCGTTATCATCCACCAATACGCGCTGAGTCCGTTATCACCCACCAATCCGCGCTGGGTCCATTATCACCCACCAATCTGCGCTGGGTCCATTATCACCCACCAATTCGCGCTGGGTCCGTTATCATCCACTAATCCGCACTGGGTCCATTATAACCCACCGATCCGCGCTGGGTCCATTATCACCCACCAATCCGCGCTGGGTCCGTTATCACCCACCAATCCGACTGGGTCCATTATCACTAGGGTTGCCACCTTTTTTATGTCCAAATAAAGTACATTTGGATATTAAAGGTAGAAAAAAAGTACATTGTGTTCAAAATAAAGTACTTTTATTTCAACTTTATTAGAAAGATTAAAAGTATATTTTGCGTTGCTTCTAGCAACTTTTAATAAATAATTTGGGACTTCTAAAAATCTGTATTTCTTATCCGCAATGGGAAAGAACATTGTTCAAAGCCATACAGCCGCGACAATGGTGCAGGAATGAGCTAAGGGCGACATATTATACATACTGTTGTTCCGTTTTACGCAAAAATTCTTTCTATCAACCTATATTTGTAAATTTCTGAAACATCAAACCAGGTAATCAAATCACATCAAATAAAGTATTTCACGTACTTTATTGTTGGCATAAAGTATAGAGTACAATTACCCGAAATAACGTACAATACTTTATAAAAAAGTACGGGTGGCAACCCTAATTATCACCCACCAATGCGCGCTGGGTCGGTTAACACCCACCAATCCGACTGGGTCCATTATCACCCACCAATCCGCGCTGGGTCCGTTATCACCCACCAAGCACCAGTATTTTGATTCATGAACTATTCATGTATTTTGTGACAGGTATTGTTCATTGTTTACTAATGAGTCACCGGTTAACGCAAAAATCGTCACACATTCGCCAGTTTACCCCCCAAGTCAAGCGTGGCTAAAGAAGTTTCACTTCAAAATATATATATAATAATCACAACTTTTTTGTAGTTTAATAAAAATAATTAATTGCTTAAATCGGGAATGTATATTTGTACCTCAATCCTGACTTCATTATTGATTGCAAACGAAACAAAAAAGCCACTTTTAAAACTAAATTCGTTTGAAATGGAAAGGAATTCCAATACAATTGACAAAAAATGACAAAACCACAAAATGTGTTTGTAGAATGAGCTTTGTGTAGGATCGTTTTGCTTGCCGCTGCATAGCTCTCTTATTTTGGCATTTAATTTATTAACAATTTTATTAATTTGCACGTCACTACGTAAATCTAACTGATACCAAATAGGGCAACTTTAATGTGATATTTATAATGATTATGTGTAACTATTTCATGTTAGCTGTTACAGTTTTCCGCTCTGGACTGTCATATAAGAAATATCTAGGTCAAACCAATTACTATTTTATTTTTAGTACAGTAAAAAATCTATATCCGGATACCCACCAGCAAACTAATAATATTTTTAAATTTTGTAGACAATATCGCTACGTAAAGAAAGCACATATTTTAAGTATTTTAATACTGCTTTAATAATAGGGTATTTGACAGTATTAAAAATAAAGTGCCAATTGTTAGCATCTGTATTTAGAATGAATATTGGCAGGAGTTTTTACATTTTTACAGAAAAAATATTCATAATTTTACTAAAAACCCACGATAAAGATAATAGTTTTATTGTCTATTGTCACGTGACCCAAAACGCTTGGGATTGGTGGAGCCTAAAATGACGTCACACGCAAGTTTTAATGACAGTCGTGTGACGTCACACACCAGTGAGACGCCATATTGTCCAGAGATACGTTTTTCGCGGCAACTTGAAAATAGAGTTTTTGATTTGGTTTTTTACCGAAATACACAACATAATGACAAAAATAACGTGAGATCGTTTTCTAAAACTTGCCAAATACCCTATTATTGGGAGGGTAGCGAAAGCAGCTTGTTATCTCCTTCGCACTTGTGGTGCTTACGTCACGGCCTCTTAGTGCTATCTCTCTTTCCCCTTTTTCTAATGGTGTTTTATATTTAATTTAGAGAGGATAAAAACTTTAAATTTGACATATTATTACGCCATGTAAGAATAAAGTAAAATATTATAAAAATAATAACTAAACAACTACTATATGCCTCATTATTATCATTACATTTTTGTTCATTTAAGTAAATTCAAATATGATAGAAATTGATATTTTAGATTAGAAAAATATCTATATGACTTACGCCAATAATCAGTACTGAGGCCAAAGCATGAACTTTGACAGCTCCGATGATTGTATCGCATCGTCAAAGTTTCTATGTCAAATAAGCAGCGCCTCTACCGGACGGAAGAGCAAAACTGGCTCTTTTCATACAAAATTTGACGATAAAAATACGGTCTGTCAAAGTTCGTCCTTGAGGCTCTGGATATTCGATTCTCCTTTCTTATTAATTTTATTAAGTATCGATTTGGCAGGCTGAAAACCTGTCATGTTTGTTTTTGAACAGTAACGTACGATGATACTTATATTTTAATAAACATGTATACGAATTTTTGCATTCTCTTAATTTTTTAAATCGCCAATAATACGTGCCATCTCTGCCTTGTAGTTTAAGTATTTGTGCAATGCCGTGTGAACCCATCCTTACGGGGTGGCGTTTAGACAATGTATAGAAGTTAAATAACTTCTAGAACGGTCCGACACCGACCGTCGATTCCTGTCTATAATTCCAAGAATGGTTATTGACCGACCGTCGGTGTTGCGCCGTGTCGCACGACGTCACGTTGTCGTGCCGTGTCGCGATTACTAATAACTCTCATTCTTGTTGCTATCCCTATATCAATGTGTAGGGGACACCTCAGGCTAGCCAGCTTCTAACATACTTACGCACTTATATTTGTTCACATCATCCTGAAGCTCTGCCACCCCGTAAGCTAGTGACGTTATGAATTTATGCTAACCTTCTTTTCCATAAGATATTTATCTGCAAGCGGTTATATTATCAATGCATTATTTTGTACAGTTGTGTGTTTAAAATTAAAAACATTTTATTCGAATATTAATTGAGTGTTAGAATAATTTTATTATTTTTTATGGAATAGACGTGCTTGGAGTGTAACTTATACCTTTGTTAAGCTGGATTTATATTTGACCGACTAGTCTAAAGTACCGTGACGCGTCATCGGAATGATATCGCAGTAAATTCAGTACAGCGTTTATGTTGACTAAATTTAACATCACTCTCTCCTTTTCATTCTGTATCGAGAATGACAAACATACAATGTAGCCAAATTTAAATTTAGGTTAAGAGAATCATGCCAGAATTAGCACCATTGCGTCTGATTTCAAAATCTTTTAAGCTTTGCTCCGCCTGAAATAAATAAATAATAATAAAACTAGGGGGTATAGAACCTATATAGTCGCGGCACGCTATGATGGCCCTTTTGGCACATTGCAATAGTGACGAAAAAAGTCTTTTTGTTATAGAAAAAATCTTTTATAATCAAATGCGAGTCACATAATATCGTTTTTTTTTTTAATTTTTAACCTATATTGAAGTAACTACCTGATAATTTAGATTGAATTAAACGAAAACAAAAATGTTTATTCATGCTCAGCTTTCCTATATGTAGAAATCTTATTATTTAATGTTTTTAAATTTTGAAAAATACAAATTCCGCATTAAGTGGCGAAAACATACACTATAATCAAATGATATTATTATTTGTTTGATATAACCAACTTTATTAATGATAAAAACAATAAAACAATTAATTTAATTTATTTAATCCTTTGGAGTATCTGTCAAATGGCCGGTGCTTTTATGTTAATAATGGTGGTATATTTAATTGTTTTAAACGTGATAATCATGATATACAGTAGAATATAATATACGTTTGTAAAATTTTAATTAAGCGCCATAAATTACCTATTCGATAAATTGTATGACCAAATGCGCGTCTCTAATGACAATGAAGAATAATAATTATTTCTTTCATATGTGGAACTAATTTAAAATTTCGAATACGAAGCTTCATGGGAGTACAAATGTCAAAACAGCCATCTTAGCGTGACACTACAATAAAAGTGTTGTGTTATATTTCCAATTTGAATAAACTTTTTTTTTTGATGAATCGAACAATTGTTCTGACACGTCACAGCAGGTTCCGTCAGACAAGTATAAATCCTACCTTAGATTAGTTGCATCATAGTAAGTAGGCAGGTGACGTCTAGTCAACAGTCAAATTCCAGTACAAACTCGTTCTAGAATGACAGTGCTATAGAGAAAATGAAGTTCCTATCTGTTGCTTCGTCCGCAAGATCTGTTATCGAGTAATTTACAGAATTACTGTTTATTTAAGATGTTTTGTTAATATTTATAAAAATGATTTGGGAAAAGAAATATAATCTCCATTAATAGATAAGCTTACCAGAGCTTAGTTACCCTAATAATGTTCTTTATTTATTTTAGCAACAATGGTTGCTCAGTAATTGAAATAAGATAGGCGAAGTTACTGGAGATAGCTTTATGAAAAAGCCGCTAAAGATCAAATGTAAAGTATTTATATTATAATAAGCAAAACTTTGAATATTTAAAAAATATATTATCACAATTTTTATGTCATATTGCTTTTTGTAACAAGGATTGTGAATTGCAAGAATACTAACAAAATATTATTTTCAATGTGATTTTAGGAAAATGTATATACATATATTAATTTAGCTATTTGAAATTGTATTCAACTATAATTTTTCGATTTTATATATTAAGGCCGTCTACGCACTAAGCGATAATTTCGGCCCCAGGAGCGGGTCTTATGAAGTTCTTTATCTAAATATGTACTGAGGAATTCAAGATTGTAAAATGATTGGGTTTTGTACTTTTATGACTTCCGATACAATAAATACATCACTAATAATAATCGTTTTTTTTTATATTCCCATGCACAACCATTATAAATAAAATTTCCATTAGTTAGTTCCTGCCCTGAAACAGACCGGTCGCTCTTGGCGCCAGGTTGCAAAAGACATCAATAAGCGAAAGCTGAAAACCAATTTTTAATTATTTGTAGGAGCTTTACACAATTGCAATTAAGATAAAGTGAAAGCTTCGGCCCAGAAGGCGCTGAAGACATTCTCGCTTCACCTTAATCAAGGTTTGGATTGTCTCTGCAGCTATCTGTCACGAATTTGCTACAATATCTTTGTATTCGGAGTGCTTCATTATGGTCAATTCATACTAGCGCAGAGTCGAAGCTAATTTCAGTAACGTAACAAAGCAAATACACCATTATTTCCGCAACGTAATGTGCACAGAACACGTGCGAGATGTGTAGATGATTTGACACTTACAATCAGTGCCGTCTTTGACCTATTGGAGGCCCTGGGCATATTAGGATAATGGGGCCCTTATGAACTAGGGACTTTGTATTTGATCTGAGGGGGGCCTCTATTGATCGCGGGGCCCTGGGCACTGGCCCAAAGTGCTCACTGGGAAAGACGGGTCTGGTTATAGTATTTGAGTCAAAAGAAGCTACTCAAAGGAGTTGGCCGTTGATGACCGTTTGACAAAATGTGTCATAGACCAATCACAGGCATATCAACTGGTACCTTCGACCAATAGTGTCTTGTCTGTGAGCAACTAAGGGGCAATCAAATATATTAACAAATCACATAGGGGAAACTACTCAATCATTGGCACTCTTCCTATTATTGGCACTTTTCAGTTTAGTTCGAAAAAACAGGAAACAATAGACTGTAGGAATAATGCCAACTTTCAAATTTCGAAATCATACTAGGTTTTTCTTTTTTATATGTAACGATCTTGAATAATCTATTGTCTCCTTGTTTTTT